AAACATTCGGTAGAATTTATAGAATATTGTAAAAATTATGGTCTATTACCAACATATATATATGTATATATATATATATATATATATATATATCGCGTGGTAGGAACATTGTAAATATAAGATTTATAGATAATAAAGAGATTTAATAGTGCAACTGGGACTAATATGCATTGTCTGAAGGATGCAATGCGCACATGACTCTATGCATCTATTCAAGCGTACGCAAATATTTGAATGAGGGAATGAATGAATGAGTGATTGAATGAATGAATGAATGAATGCGTGAATGAATGAATGAATGAATGAATGAATGAATGAATGAATGAATGAATGAATGAATGAATGAATGAATGAATGAATGAATGGGTGAATGAATGAATAAATGAATGCGCGTGTGAATTATTGCATGAATTGTATAAACAAATTAATAAAAAATTTATTATCTAAAGAATTAAAAAACGAAATAATATATATATATATATATATATATATATATAAATTATGCAAAAACTCTTCAACAGTCTTCATATGGAATAATTTCTCTTTTATAGAAATTTGTTGGGCGTCTTTGTTGGCTCAGTTGCAAATGTCAAGTGTTTTTACATTTACTAAAAATAAGCATATACCACTTGGTATGAGTTAGTAGTTCTTTTTCGATCAAAAATATTTTGCACTTTTATTCTTTTTTGTTAAAATAAATTTTCATAATGAAGATGAAGGAATGATGAATGTTTGAACGATGAATGCTTGAGCAGCCAAAGGTTTCAGTAAGATTCAGAAAATATATTTAAGTTTTTTTTTTATTAAAATATTCATTTTTTGAAATATTTTCTATTATTTTATTTTAAATCTAATTTGATTTATAATGTTTTTTTTAATTTTGTTATAATTCATTTTTTTTGGTTTACTACTAGAAAATAAAATAAATTTTTCTAGATGTTTTTGGATAGTTAGGTAATAAGAAGGCAACACGAACGTTTATAAAGTCAGTAGGTAAATTATTTTATATCAAGTAGCATGGTGTTCATATGTTATATTACAAGTGTATGCTTCTATAACTTCATAATAAACCGCACTAAACTCTAAAACAGGTGTGGGTAAATTTTTTGCTGTGAGGGCCGCATTAAAAACAATTTTACCTTTGAAGAGTCGTATATGTACTTAAACAACAAATTTTTCGACCCCCGTGGGGATTTTTTTATGATTTGTGGCTTCTTTTTTTGGTCATAATGTCAAGCCGACGAATTTTTTTGGGCGAACAAGGCTTCGCGGGCCGCATAAAATAGCTTCACGGGTCACATGTGACCCACGAGCGGTAGTTTGCCCCACCCTGCTCTAAAATAAAGAATTTAGTCAAAATAATTTTAAAAATATCTCGACATCAAGACCACTTAACATTTTTATAAGTTACCCACAATAACATACACTCAGTGATGTTGGACGACCTCCTATGAGTCTTATGTAATGTTGGTGCAAAATGGAACACCACATGCAATTATCTAGAAATTGATTTCTTTGATTATATATGTGACTGAACATTAGCACATACATACATATATACATACAGACACACACACACACACCTAAATATATATATATATATATATATATATATTTATATTGTATATATATATTAAATTTATATTTCGCGCTTATATGCCTGAGCGCACAGCCAGCAACATAACTTTACGGGTTATTTATTTCAGTTTTATTTCTCCTGTTTATCTCTTGCCGACAATAACATCACTTCTGGTTGTTATCCAATTTTAATGATTCTCTCATGTTAGAACTGCATGTCCAGACTGCTGGCCCTACGAACTGCACAGTTGTCTTTCAGCCAGCCATACGCAAAAGAAAATCTGTTATTTTTTTTAAACGCTAGCACAGTAAGTAAAGAAATCATAACATCCCCGTGGTTAGAACTAAATAACAATATTAGAGTAAGATGTTGGTGGGCTGTTCAACGTCGCAGATGGTCGTATCTTAACGTCAGGTTCGAGAAATAATCATAAAAGTTGAAAGTTTAGCAAAAGAGTTATTTTGCATTTATAGATATTTTTATTGACGTTGGAGACAGCAGAAAGCAATCAATTTTTATCTACTAGGCTTTCAAAGCAACGTCAGAGCGACGCGACCATACAAGAAAGACATTTTCATGTTTCAAAACTCAACGACAACGTGTTTAAACTTGTTAATTGTAGATCACCTAACACGCTCCTATGAAAAGAAAAAAAAACAAAAACGTAAAATGAGAGCCCGTAGGCAATAGGCATACAAATAATGAACAATTAGGCACAATCATACTTATAAACAAATGTTTTAAATTGCAAAATCACATACTCAGCACATACACAATCAAACAAACACTCGCTCAAACACAGTCAAACAAATCTATCCAAATTTAAACAACCATACAAATGAAATATGTACTTTGTATACATTCACACATACACATAAACATTTATACACACGCACGCACGCACACACATTTATATTAACCTTATCTCTGATAGTTTGCCTCATTGCCTCTCTCTCTTCTTCCATCTTCCTGTACTTTTCATTCCTCTTCTCTTCCGCTTCCCGTTTGGCTTCAGCGATTTCTGGATCCTCCTCCTCGGCGTTCTTGTCGTCCTTCTCATCCTTGTCGCCCAGAGCGTTTGTTACACCTGGAGTTCATTTTGTGGCAAGTTCGTGTGGGCGGTGACGCGGTGCGGTTGAACAGGGAATATTTCACGTTCAGGTTACTTCATTAATTTAATATTCAAAATGAACGCTAAATTGCGATTAAATGAAATAACTTGCAATAGAAAATTTCTCTTATTTTTTAATAATTTACATATCTCATTTATTCATATCCTAATGTTTTTACTGCATACTCAAGCAATTATTTCCGAATAAATTGAATCCAATTCTGTCAACAATTGCGTGCCAGTGCTTCAACATTCATTTGATTCTTCCTTCATAAATAATGAGCGGGGAACGGTAATAATTTTATCTTATATTTTGTTATAATTGTCGACAATTTTTCAATAAATGCTAAAATGATTTCAATCATGTTTAAAAACTTCGAGTAATTTTTTGAAAAGTAATAACGAAAATAAAGAGATATATATGATTGGTGTGCATAAATTTTTTTGCAACTCATTTCATGATGCCGCAGCTAAATTAATAGAAGATTTTTTTGAGAAAATAAGATCATCGAATGAGTGAACGAACGAACAAGTGAACAAACGAACGAACGAACAAACGAATGAATGAACGAACGATCAAAAATATGATGTTGGCCGCCAGCTTCTAAAAAATTATTTTTGAAATTAAGAAACGTGGAAGCCGCGCAGATTACATCTTGAAATAAATATTACTTTTTATTCTATGGGCGCTTCAAAATATTGCTTCAAAAAACCAAATAGTGTGTTTTGTATTTTAAGTTAAAATTTACGGCAGAAAATAACGACAATAATAATAAAGCAGCAGTTTTTTACATCATGATTTATTATTGTTCATCGTAAATATTTTAGAGAGAATTATTTTTGATTGTTTCTGATATTTGCCTTCAGTAAATGCCAGAGCAATTATTGAAATCACTAAGAAAGATGAGAGTGACACACGTAGGAAGATTGCGACCAATCGGCTGGCGAGTGATCTCCGCCATATCTTCGCGGTGGAACGTCCGTGAATCAAACTGTTAATCATTTTTGATTGCTGGTATGCTACCACCGCTCGCTGCTACTCACGTCTCCTTCTTTTTTTCATTGAATGCATTTTAAAAAGAGTTATTAGACCGATCGAGAGAAAGAAAGGGAGAGAGAAAAAGAGAGAGAAAAAGAAAGAGAGAGTGAGACAAAAAAGGAGAGAGACAATAAATGAAAGAAAGAGAAATAAAAAAAGCACGGATGAAGGAGGAAACAAAAAAAGCATACATAGTAAGATACATACGTTTATGAAAATTGTCATCAGCAAAATTTTTGGCGTTATTGGAGAGAAAAATTGTTATAGAGTAGTAATAATTCATGAGAAACTTGTTGATTCCACTCGAACAAGCAGCACGCAATCGTTATGTGAATAATGTACTCACAGGACGTATCACTTAAAGTGCAGTCAACTATTTTAGAAGAATCTATATGAGCGCTCTCTTGCTGCGGAATATTGAAAAATTAAATTTTGTTCATTTTTTTAAAAATAATCTTCATAAAAGATATACATCAAACACACACACACACCACACACACACACACACACACACACACACACACACACACACACACATGTTAGAAGGAGACCATATTTTATACAGTAATGTTGTACCTATCAATTCAACCGAATTGTTGGCATTAATCAATTTATTATCCTACAATGAGGATGATTTGTGAAAAATCTAAATGAGGCCTATCTGCATGATGAATTTTGATAACAACAGTTTTATTAAATTTTCATGGTGAACTTGGACAATAAATTGGACAATTTCCAGAAAATTCTAGTAAGTAAAATTGTAAGGAATAAGACAAACTTTAAATTGATTAATGCCTACAATTTGGTATAATTCATACAATATATATATATATATATATATTAATATACATTAATATATATATATATATATATATATATATATATATATTAGAGAATGTAAAAAAAGCAAAACTAAACCGCTCAGCGGATTTCCAAACAGTCCTCCTCCCAACAACGAAACCATGGCAACTGACCGGTAGGTAGGTAGGTAGGTAGGTAGGTAGGTAGGTAGGTAAGTAGGTAGGTAAGTAGGTAGGTAGGTAGGTAGGTAGGTAGGTAGGTAGGCTCAAAAAGGTTTGCTGGTACGTAAATAGATAGGTAGGTTCCTATGTAGGCAGTTACGTAGTTTAAGGGTTTGATGAACGTTTATGGAAAGAAGATGTTCAAAATGAAGTCTCTTAGCTTTTTGAATATTTCCAATTTTTTCAAATGTATTAAACTTATTGAATTTTTAGCATAATTTGTTGATAATACTCTTTTTCAGGCGGAATCACTTTTGTCAGCGCTTAATGAATAAATGAAATATTTTGGAACTGAAAGGAACATGCATCAACAGAACAGGAGCGTCTATTTCATGGAATCTGCAATAAAACATTTCCAACTTTACATTAACAACAATGCAATGCGTAATGCATTTATTAAATACAATGGCATTTTGATTTAAATGTTCTTGTTATACAGGGCTTCATAGGAAGCATTTAACACCATCAACATACTATGCGATGTGTATGAACAATCGATGGAATAACCAGTGTCTGACATAACTGACATAAAAACAGACAGACAGACAGACAGACAGACAGACAGACAGACAGACAATGTTCAATTTGCGAGACAAACACACAAACGTAAACAAATGGTGTAAAAATGAAAATACCAAATTAAATACCGAAAAGGTGAATGAGCAGGACGATGTACAATACTCCACAATGTACGTTCTATACACATGTCATTTACCATCAAAATAGTTGACATGTATACGTACACTTACATGCATTTGCATAGTTATCCATGATCAATATGTTTTACTAATGTACATTTATTTAGGTATTTATAGTTTATTGATACAACCACGTAAATATTGTGATCAATTGAACTGCCTGTGGCATATTAGGACGAGTTGCTGAGTTGAAAAGTGAATGTTTATGATTATTATTACAAATCTTTGAAACGTTTTATTATAGATTCGCTCGATGTTTGTGAGTGTGACGCAAGCATGCACCTGTGAAAAAATCATTCCATTATTCATTTTTCTGAATCTAATGCGAAAAATTAGAAGACACTACTTTGTATATCATCACATCCTATAAGAGTTTTTTGATTTTGGATTTATTCGTTTGTTTTTATTTATTTGCCAACTAATTATTTATTTTAATATGTAATTTTCATTTATGTCTTATGTTATTTTAAGTCAAAAGTTTGATGTAATGGATTGGACGGCTGACACAAAAAAAATGTTTGCGCATGAACTGAACAATGAACAAGCAGGACGCATTCACTAGCACATGCTGAACATGCTAGTATTTAAGAAATACAACCCATCAACAAACCAACCAACAACAAAACCAACCAACAAAGCAAATGACCAACCAGCCAACTATCCAACCAATCAACCAAACAAACGGCCAACCAAACACTTTTCGATAGAAAATTTGCCGTGTACGACTCATCTACAACAATGTTTATACAGTGCACAAAATGTACATATAAATAGTGCAACATAATGTAATACACTCTGGTTGAAATATGCATGCATGTACAATACATTGTATACATATGAGTGTACGTTTGATTTAATGTACACATTGATTGTATGTACGCACGAATGCATGTATGCGTCAATGTGTATGTCGTATATATTTACAAGTGTACATTGTACACATATGTATGTATATATCGATTATTGGAGCTTTGTTGGTGCTCACTCTATCTTACTGTATGATTTCTATTCAAATCGATGTTTTGCAGTTGGATGGTTGGTTGGTTGGCTGGTTAGTTTAGATGTGCTTCATTCTGATCAGGAGCATAAAAATCACAAAAAATAAAGTTATGGCATTTAAAAATATTAATACCCCACTCATCCGTAATTACAGTTTTTATAAAATAAAATATTTTTATATGTATATTACAATTCCTCATGTTTGCAATCTAATTATCTCTATATAAATATACATGGACATCCTGAACGCATCATTAAATGTAAATATAATTAGCAGAATAAGGTCTCTCTCTTACTTGTACTCTTCTGCAAGATGATCTTCATCAGCTGTTCAACAAGTGAAAGAAGCTTAAACCAAAAAAAAACTATAACTTATATAACTTATTCTATATGAACATCTATTTTTAATTATTTAAAAAGTTACTCGAAGATCAGTGCGGGAACAATTTTTGCCATACAAAATTGTGAGATCCCAGCAATTTATAAGGCACGTATTGACAGATAGATGGTCTATATATGATATGATATATTGATTGTGGAATTATGTGTAATATATGCGAACACCAATGTGGATGACCAATAGTGTATATATATATATATATATATATATATATATATATATATATATATATAACATTTAAAATTGCATGCATCACCCTCATATATCAATGATCATACTGTTAGAAGTTGTTTAATTTACGTCAAAAAATAATATCACAATAACGTTTAAAATCAAAAGTACTAAAATGAGTAAAAAATTGATATAGAGTTTCATTTCATTTTGGCATATTTTTAATATTCAGCCTACGTTTTACAAATATACAGCGCTGTAAATTTATATACTAAATTTACTTTTAAATACTTGTTCACCTGGATCAATGATAACTACGTGGGTTTTTTGTCAAATAGAAATTTTCTGGTAGTGTGAATTGTTTTTAACGTGATTTTAAGAGTTGTGAATAACGTCCTGCTTAATATTTTTAGCGTCTTTAGTGTCTACAGATTTATATTTTAAATTATTTTTTATCGTTCGTGTACAGTACTCTACCTCATCCATTTATCTTTCAATTAATTTGTTTTATTTGTTTGTTCACTTCACTTTTTTACACACAGTTTACACTTCTAGGTATCCTACTGTTTTTCTGGCATCACAGTACACAGCAGAGTCAAGTCATGTTTCACTGATTAATATTCAGCACCTGTTAATTATTTATTTCAGTATTTAATTCAATCACTTTTTTGTCCTATAAGCTGTATAACAGACAAAATACTACGACACATCTCACCTTGTATGGCTGGAGGTAACACATTATTGAGGAGGCTTTCAAGGCAAGACAGATCTGAAGTCAACAATGTTGTCAAATATCTGCTATTTGGATTCAACAGTTTCATCTGGGTTTGATTTTTTTTTATTGATTTTCATTAGTTTTACAAATGAAAGATGAATTATATCATCGATATTGTAATAATTAATTCATAATTTTACAATTTTAAAATAGCTTTTTAAATAGATTTGCTAATGTGTTGATAACATAATAATGGGATAACAGTAACAAATCTAATAAGATGTTAATCAGTTGAAAATGTTTGAAGTTGATTGGTGTCGGCTTGATTTGTGTTGGAGCATGGGCGGCAGTCCAAAAGAACAACATTAACAACATCACCATGCTAACAAACTCAATTGTCGATCCTGTCACGTTACTCATCGTCAGTGGGGTCATCATTTTTATCATCGGCTTCTTTGGATGCATCGGAGCTCTCAGAGAAAATATTCCTCTACTCATTGCTGTCAGTTTGATTGCTGAAATTGTGAATTTGAGATTGAAATTGAGATCTCTTAGCATCTAATTGTCTACAGATTTATTGTAAAAATTTGTTATTTTTATGTTTTTCCTTGCAGTATGTTGTCTTGTTAGTCATTGTCCTGCTGTTGTTGGTTGCTCTAGCCATCATTGCTTTTGCATTTAAATCATGGGTTGGTAGTTTGTTTTCAAAATTTATCTTTTATTTAAATTCTTATATAAACGTGGTTATCCGATGAAGAGAAAATTGTGAAATGTTTACGTTAGTTGAAGAAGCTGATAGTGGAAACGAGCTTGAAGGATGTCATACCGAAGTACAGGGACGATCCAGATCTGAAAAACCTCATTGACTGGGTCCAGGAAGATTGGGTGTGTGGGCTGCTTACTTACGTTTTGCTCATTTTCAGATTTAATAGTGAAATACATTGGTTAAATTTGTGTACATTTTGTACATCTTCTGGAAATTTATTTGGCATTTATGGCTTGTACACATGTTTGTATGCATGTTTGTATGCTTTTTTATGTTTATATGTATGTTTTTCATGTTTGCATGTTTTGTATAAGTTTGCATGTTTATATGTATCATTTTTTGTTTTGTTTTTATTTTTTTGTAATGATTGCATGACATTTTTATAAGCAAAGCCAGTTATTAGTTTACTTAGAGTTGCCATTTGAAGATAAAATAAGCTTTATCAAATACAATACTTACTATATTTATATAATAAATTGTATGCAAGAAAATAAATCAACTGGTAAATTGATTTGTTTAGTTATGCTCCCAAGTTTTTCCTGTTATTATTTTCATTTTTTAATCCGTTACAATTGAAACGAAATGACCATGCAGTTGCATTGCTGTGGCCTGCAAGATTACAACGATTGGGAGCTCAACATTTACTTCAACTGTTCATCTCCAGGTCTGACAACTGTTCAAAACTATCTTTTTGATACAATCAACTTTTTAAACTTATGATACGTTGATATTGCTTTTCTGCTTTTTTTTTTAAATTTGAACAATCTGAACTTCAAATAAATGTTGTTAAATGGATTAGCACTCGAAATAAAAGACTAATAAATGTTTTTTTTGACGTTGAAATTAAATATTTTAATAGTGTGATCTGATCATTTGATCAAACATTTCCATATTCATCCAAGTTTCAGTTCGCTATTTTTTTTCAAAGTTATCTCCGTTGAATTCACTTTGCAGGAATGGACGCATGTGGAGTGCCATACTCCTGCTGTATACCTGATCCCAATGTCTGCCACCACTTATTTAATTTCTCTTATTTTATATTTTTTATTGTTTTTGCCACTTTGTTAATTTCGTTACTCATTTATTTTTATTTTATTCGCGTTTAATTTAATAACAATGTACAGGCTGCAATGATAAACCTGCAATGTGGTCAGAACAAGAGGAGGCCAAACGAACCAAACAGTGACATCTACAAGCAAGGTTTGCCATGTTACCATTCTTTGAAACGTTTGATTTTTTTGTTTTGTTTTATCTCTAAAACTTTTAGAACTGATAAAATAATTTGTGTTATATAGTTATAAATAACATCACAGTACGTGATGATGAGTGCTACATCAATCATTAATGTTTTGATGCAACCTGGGCAGGATGCATCGATGCTGGTGACGCCTGGTTCAATACCTACATCATCCCAATTGCTGGAGTCGTCGTCGGTGTTGCCGTTTTAATGGTCAGTTTATTACACTTCTTATACACTTTGTGAAATGAAGCTTTTCATTGCCCTACCGCTCTTAAAATGTAATTTAATTTTAAAAATGTAAAGAATTAATAACATTTTTTTAATATTTATTGTGCCAAATTGTATTTTTATAGTTAGCTTATTACGATTTACGAATGTTAATTGCTTTGATAAACTATTTAGATATTGGGCATATGCTGTTCATGGAATCTTGTGGCGGACGTGAAGGCGCAGAAAGCAAAATGGGACAAAGTATCAAATCACGAATTACTTTAAATAACTGTTTTAATTTATCATTCAACATTATTTGGCTAACTTTTTTATTTTATCTTTCTTTTAACTACAAATTTTTAAAGACCGTAATTTAACATTTATTTTTTAATGATGATGGAAATCATGCTTTTAAACAATTTTATACGAGATTTATTTTTTTATAGGTGCCTTTTGAACGTTTTTAATATTTGAAATAATCTGATTTCAAATGTGAGGAGGATTGATAGAATCAAGTTAAAATTTTTCTGCCGGTTAACTTTCAAGAAGCATAACACGTGTTTAAAGTTCTCTTTTGTATTTAATGTTCATTATTTTTTACTTTTTTAAATACTTTTTTGATCTAATTTTTGTGTAATATCAAAAGTTCATTACCTAATTTTTGTGCATTGTATTGTTTAAAAAATCTAATAATTACTGTTCAATCGAAATAAAATTATGTCAGAACATTAAAAAGCATGATTTACTACGTTATACTGTAAGAAGTTGTTCAAGTTTGATAGATGAAAGCTCTTTGAATAGGTCCCAGGCGACGACGATGATGGTGTGGCTCCGTCTTTTTTTACTTTGCAAAATTCATTCGGTGATGATTCGTAATTTATATATTTATAATTTTCAATTTTCCGTCCTGGCTACTAACGCGTTTTTTATCTTGCTTGGATAAACTGTGAAATCTCAACGGCGCGTGACCTCTGATAACCGACTCCACGAGTTTGGCTGCAACGTTCGCATGCTTCTCGGCCACTAATATTTCAAGCTTTCGAGAAAGTTCCATTACGATATCTTGAAACTGATCCATGCGATTCTCCAAGCGTTGCATGCCTTTTGTAATTTCTTCGGTTTCTGACTGTTCCATCTGTTTGTAGATAAGCTTTCTCTGGGATATTGGCATTAAATATCTATCAAACTCAACATCCTTCACTAAATTTTCTCGATTCATGCAGAGAAACTTGAACAGTCTTTTTATCATCGGCAAAGCTTCTTCAAGCTGCAGGGCCAACCTTAAACTCCCCACCCTCCACGTGGACCCTTCCTTGGACTTGATACTCGTATAAGTGTCAGTCATCATGGCCACCAGAAGACTCATGAGAATGACAGTTGATACCAGTACGTAAATGATGAAAATTGATTTTATAAAGAAAGGGACGCCTCCGTACGTAGAGTAACTTTCGTCGAATGAGCCGTCGAACAAGGAACCAAGACCCAACATCATGTTGATCGAATTGTACAAAGTCGTCCCTAGGCCAGGACTAATTTGCCGGATGTTGGGGTGAATCTGGAAAAGAACGTTGAAAGCCATTCCACAGCCCAACAGGAAGAGAATGTAAATACCAATGAAGCGCGTGATGTTCCGGAGAATGATGTAGCGTAACATTATTGTGAACACGTGCAATTCTTCTATTGCCTTGGTAAAATTTATAAGATATATCCAGCCAAAAAGAAAAACAAGTGATGTTATGATAAGATAGTATTCGTATGCAAGGTATGTCATGAACAGTGCGTACCACAGAATAGCGCTGATGCAAAAGCAATAACTCAAAACATCCCCCAAGTTCATAACTACAGTTTTAAATATGAACATGCAAATGCTGACAATTATGCTTAGGAATGACTGATAACTTTTTTTGAATTTTTCAGCTCTGTTCGAACGAACATTGTTGGTTATCACGTGAAATAAACGAGTTAGAATGTAAAATATTTCAAAGAGTAAGATTAAAACAGGCCATATTAGAAACAATCCGTATTTTATGCTATAGTAACTTTTGTATTGCGGTGTTAAAAACGCCACTCGAAATGGGTCTTGATCTTTATCGTAGGTAGTTGTGTCATTATGTGGCAAAATTAAAATTTTAAGATCGGGAATGTTCTGGTAGTTTTCGTAAGATGGCATCACGAAGATGGTAAAGAGTATCATGTACGCAATGTGGATTACTAGAAATACTACATATATCCACTGATAGTTCTTCCAATAATTTTGAACTATTTCGTTAATTGGTGTGATGTCAAGAATTTTAGAGGCAAGAATATCATTGTTGAGAGAAACGATTGTCTTTAGGCAGGAGCTGGCTGATGGTTTGGCTTGTTTAGACGATTCATCGTTAGTTATCTTGATGCTGTTGATTCTGACTTTCCTCTTTGAAGATGAGTCTTTTAGAATTGTTGTTACGTCATACAAGTAGTAAGCGTTGCGATCTGGTTGCAATTTGAATACGTTAGGAGTGGCAAGAATTTCTTTCAACATTTCAACTGCACCAAGTCGTATGGCATAATTTATAGAATCTAAACCATCAATGTTTACAATTTCTGTTGTTAGATAAATCATGGCATGTCTCATCTGTTGATAAAAAAGGTCACTTTCATCGTTAGGTATTTGAAGATTTTGATTCATGCACCACCACTTTGGAGATTCTTTCACAATGCACTGGTAAGTTTCAACAAATATTTGTGTTCGAGTTGTTTCATTACGAGATTCTTCAATTAGTGTGTGTATCACTGAGTTACCTTTATTATCTCGTGACGACAGGTTTGACCCTAGCGCGATTAACTTTATTATTGAAATGATATTACAACTTCGAACGCAAATGTGCAAGCAACTCTCACCCTGATCGTTAATTTCATCCAAATTGACACCACTTCCAGGTCTGCAAAATGTACTCAACATGGCATCAAAATTTGACAAAACTCCACTTTTTGCAGCAATGTGCAAAGGAGTTTCTCCCTCTTTATTTTTGATGGATGGGTTTAAATACGACAGTTCAACGATTATTTCAGGCCGCCCTTTCTTGGCAGCCAGATGGAGAGCTGTGCTACCACTTTTATCGACTTCATCTACCAACGACCACGTATTGGCCTTAATAATATGGTTAACTAAAATCCTGACTAGTTCGGGATTAGCGGTATCTGAAAATACTGCTTCGTGCAGCGGGGTCCTGCCTAATTTATTTTTCACATCAAGTTTCAACTTTCCCATCAACGTTTCAAAAGAATCTAAGTTACCATATTTAGCGGCTACATGCAGAGCGGTGTCACCTTGGTCATTTATATCTTCCGTTGACACTTTTGATAAGAATGTTCGCAAAATTTCACTTTTGTTATCTCCGGCTGCAATATGAAAGAATGTGTTTCCGTTCAAATCAACTGACTTTGGATCGGCCCCTTGCTGTAACAAGCAATCTAACTTTTCGACGTTTCCATTAGAAGCTGCTATGTGTAGCGGAGTGTTTCCTCTTGGAAATTGTAACAACGATTCATTCACTCCTTTATAATGTTTATACAGTGACAAAACAGCAGTTAAAAACGTGTTACTTTGGTAGTTCATAGTGAAATCCCAAATACTTTGACCTTGTTTGTTTCGAATATCTAGATCGGCGCCATGTTTAATAAGTAGTTTTATTGCTTTGATTCGAGCATTTTTTGCTGCATAAAGCAAAGCCGTGTTACCATTTGAATCAACCTGATCTACGGATAGTTTAGTTTTATCCAGCAAAACTCGGATGACTTCACATTCACCTTCGGAAGCCGCCACGTGCAATACATTCATATTGTTGTTTATTGTCACATACGGATCTGCATTGTTGGCTAACAATATTTCTACTATGTCATCGTAACCTAATGCTCCTGCCAACACGATCGGGTAGTAAAGTCCTAACTTTCTCTTCTGGTTGACATTAACATTTCCCTCTTTAGCCAGAACATGAACAAGAGACGCAAAACCATACCTCACAGCCCAATACAGCGGTGTGGAACCTTTGTCATTTTCCAAATGTAAATTTGCTCCATGCTCGATAAAATAACGAACTGCTTCAATGTGGTTTCCACGAGCAGCCCACAAAACCGGCGTATCTTTTTTGTTGTTTTGTATATTGACGCTCACACCCATCTTCTTAAAAAGGTCAATTATTTCTGTGTGTCCGTGCAATGCTGCCAGGTGCATACAAGATAGATGCCGAGGTCTCTGTCCTTCCAATTCAGTTACAACCACTCTCGATAGAAACTCTTCTTTAGTTCCTTCGTTAGTCACTTTGTCCAACATTAATTTTGTCAACACGTAGTTTCCTTTTTCTGATAAAATGTGAAGATTGGACTTTTGAGTAGATACACCTTTCACAGTCAATTTATAATCCTCCAAAATTAACTTCTCATCGGAGTTGTCTATCAAATAACGGGCTACGGAGTAGCAAGATTTTTCGAGAGCATGATTCAAAACTGTGCGAGCACTTTCTTTATGTTTAAATTCTTTATCTAACAAAGATTGTCTATTTCTTTTAACTAGTTCTTGCAATTTGACAAAATTTTCAACGTTATCTTTTTCGACGGATTCAAACAGAGAATCTCGTAACGTACAGTGTTCGTTGAAAGTCTCATTGGAACTTGATTCCAACACTGGTGTTACTTCAGCTGTTTTCAAAACTAAGGGTGGGGGAGGTTTGTTCAGTTGAGTTATGTTTGTTGGGTACAACGAATCTCTTCTGTTGGGTTCTTTGAAACTTTGTAAAAAATCTTTTAATTCATCTTCGGTGTCCTTATTTTAAATAAATTAGATTAATTATGTTAGCTTTTTTACTAAGATCTTTGGTAAATAATTAAAAAATACTAGGCATAAAAATACGTTCAAGTTTTCAATTGATGAGGAAAACAAAAAATAACTTGAAATTAATTGATAATTATCTTTATTCGAAAAGTTTGACAGACTTGTTTATTTCCTCTTCTAGCCCAGAGACTGACAAAGTCTCCATCAATATTTGGATCGTTTGGTTTCCCAGCATCCATTTATCCAACAAACAAACAAATAATTTTTTATCCACAACGATCTTCAATTTATTGTAACATTAACGTGATTAAAATGTAAAATCAACTGGGTTTATGCTTGAGCGATTCGTCTTGTAGGGTATCACCATTCAGTATTTACGCTACGTTGTTCTGTTCGAAAACTTTGTAAGATTGAACAAGCTTTGAACAAAAAATTAATATGTAGCATTTCTTCTATTCAATATCAAACATGTTGTGTGAAACTCATTTTAATTTCAATGCAGCTCATACTTTTTCGACGTGGGCGTATACATATATATATATATATATATATGAATGAAAATGAAATATATAAATATATCATATATATATATATATATATATATATTGGCTTTTTCCAGTATATATATTCTATATATTCAATATACACATATACACATAATGTGTGTGTGTGTGTGTGTGTGTGTGCGCGCGCGCGTATAATGTTAGATCTATTTATATAAAAAAATTTGTGTGTTTTTTATAGTCCTTGTTCATTCACATATATTATGCAGTCATACAATTCGTTTAATATATTCATGAATCTAAAGAATATTCAATATTCAAGTAAAAAATTAAATGAGTGTGCTTGCGTATACGTATCGTACGCTTGTATGGATGTGTCTGTAAGTTTGAATAGACAAATTTACACACATACGTAAATGTTTGTGTATGTGTAATATCAATATTATTAAAAATTTTACATCTTACGCAGTTGTTTTATGATATTAACTTATTGGATAAACTTTAAAGTAAAATGGAATCCGATATCTTGTATATAGCAAAGTACTTCACTACAAGTTTTCAAATGAAAAGACATGACTGCAATGAATAGAAATTCTAACGACAAAAAATTTGCGTTATTTATTCAGCAGTCAGTATAAGCGGTGATACGATGGAGCATGAGAAATTTAAAAAATGTTTCAAAACTTCTCACAGGACTCTTTGGAACCATCATAAATCTATTTATTACCATCGACATCTCCACTTGTAGAAATAAACTCACACACCAACGCATATATTTATATAAATGTATATTGTATGCATATACAATTTAAGTTATTTATTATATCTCATAGTCTACCAAAATATAACAAAAAATATTTGAAGAAAAACTTCCTGTGAAATTCTATACTCAAAAGTTTTGCTTCACTGAATCATTGATGAATACAGCAAGAAAATTAGGTTTTAAAAAAGATTTGATTTGTAATATTTGTGAAATAATAATTTCATATTAATTAAAGGCATTTACATTTAATATTCGTCCACTTTCATAAATTCAATTTGCTGGAAAGATTACGAACCATGCACGCACTCATCAATTCACATCCACCTCCAAATAAACCACCAGCAACATACACTACTGGTTTGTTGTTGCCTTCGTAACTATGCAACCACCGATCAAAATTGGAACAATGGAATATGTATCGAATGCACGTGTATTATTACGTTGTCAATTTATAGTAGCTATATATAAACGTATGCGAATTATACTAGCATGTATTATATTAAATTCGTGTAATATTAATGAAGGTGTGTGTATTTTAATACTTATATGCACATAAGCATGTTTACGTATTCCATTTTAGATTTTCTATTAATGTGCGTGAGGTTATTGAGCATTTGCAAAAAATAGTTGATGTTTATGGCTACATGTTTTTTGGCAGCTCTTATTGACAAATTTTTCGATTTGGTTATCTTTCCTATGGTCCAAACTGTGGATGAGATTATCGCTAACAAAGCAAATGATGTGCTATTTTGTACATATAGGTTTTTTCCGTCTGCCTTTGAATGAAAACAGCCCGCCAATACAATTTCATTTTATATTTCCTAATTCGTTCGGCCATTGTTGAGTCCTACAAAGACAAACAAGTAGGTACATAGCATTTCAACACAAAGATTCAAAGCGCTATACACGTGCATTTCATTAAGTGCGTTTATAATGGGATTATTAGATGATAAATACGACTGCCTGTTTGATATTTTTCTCCGGTATGTGATAACGGCTCTTATAAGGAGGATATTGAAACACAGCTCTGATAACATCATTCGAAACGTTCATTCGTTTGTTATTATCATCATTCTTATTATTGATATTGTTATTATTATTGATATTATTATTAATATTGTTATTATTATTATTCAGTGAAAATGTTATTATTTATTACATTTAGATTCACATATCATCGTCACTCTTTCTCAGACAATTTTAACAACCGTTGTATTTTTTAAGCTAGTTTATTTACTTACCATCAAGAAATTTTTTTAAAATTAATATAATCAGTAAATACAATTAGTTTTTACTGGAAAAAAATTTAAATTGCGCCAATTTTTCACACTTTTTCACCGGACACACACACACACACACACACACACACACACACACACACACACACACACACACACACACACACACACATAGACCACACAGTCACATATAAACAAATTAATTTTTATTCAAAAAAAATTTAAGAGCGTCAGTTTCCACGCTTTTTAACCGGGCATCGATTAGGAGATGGTTGATGAATATAATTTCCATTCATAAATAGAGAATATAGTTTATGATGTTTATACTGCAATTGCCTTTGAGACATCTATTACGGCTATTCTTATTTATCCTTTATGTGTGTGTACACATATACACACATACACACACGCACACACACTCGACTTCGATTAAGTACATTTCAGTTCTTTCTGATGTCTCAATAACATTTAAATTGTTTTTCTAAAATAATATAACAACGATAATCACTAAACAACAACAATAACATCCCGTCAGAAGTTAACTAAATATCTTTACAAATCAACCAACAATACGATAGCAACAACTACATCATAATCTAATCATCAATCATCATCAACAGCAACAATAACAACAACAACAATGATAATGATAACAATAATAATAATATTATTAATAATAATAATGAGAGCAATAATATTATTGATAAATAATCATAGCAATAATATTGTCGCCAGTCTTCATTTTGAGTGTTAGCTGTCAGTTGCAAACCTTTGTTAGCTAAACACGGCTAGCAGCCACCTTATTCACGCCAACATTAACATACCTATTCGTTATACATCATATAACTGTTCATATTCATACTTCCTAAAATCTGTTGTCTACGTTGAAGTTTATTTAGTGTGTGTAGTTCAATTCTTATACTAAAAATCAACGTTTTTTGGAAGCTATTGCAGTATCTGTATCATAATTGTAAGGTTAAGTATATTCTTGGTATATCATTCAAGTAAAATAAAAGTCTACATATGCATTAAGTAACAGTAACATACGAATGAATCTGATTTATTTTTGATTGACATGTCAAAAATTGAAGATTAATGAAATGCATTCCAATATACTGAGGATTAAGATCACGAAGCCAAGATAAATTCTGCAATTATTCGAGTAGTGCCAGTGTTTCTATATTTTAAATTCATAAAACTACAAATTAAAAAAATTAAATACTTTTGCAAAAAAAAAATCATTTTAAAATGATGATTTTTGTGTTGCATATTACACAAAATCTTACTAGTAAAACGTTTATCTATGCTCTTTTTTGTAATTTATTCATGAATTGCATTGACTTTGTTAGCGATAATAGGTAGTGGTCTGCCGTTAAAAAATCTTCAAAATCAAGATGGAGGTTATCGTTTTTATTACAATTTAAATTTTAGATAACCGTGGAAATAATGGTTTTGTTAATTTTAGATTGATCTAGAAATTATCGACCTGGTTACGAAGAAATCACTCGCCAAATTGTCAAATGTTAGCATTTGCCATTCAGAATTCAATTGTTAATTTAAATTTTTTGTTATTGATAGCAGACTTGTAGTGGCTGGCTATATGACGGCAACAATTTTTTGAAAAATTCACAGTCTCTACTTAATTATTAATAATGTTTTGTAATTGGTTTCATTTATTTCTGTTTCAACGTTTTCGACTGTACTTTTTTCTAAATTTATTATTAAAATTTAAAAGTTTTAAATTAAAACTTCTAATTGGTCTGTAAGTTAAATTAAAGTTTTTCCTTTTTTCGTAAAGCAAGATGATTAGTAGTGTAGTCATAGTGTATTGTGTGGTAATTAACTGTAAAATAAATATGTCAATTCAGATAATAATGCTGTGTTTGATTTGTCAAGTGAATGATAAAATTTAAATGATTAAAAATTTTAAAAAAATTACAACTGCATGTATTCATAACTTAGTTAACAGGTCAATCAACAATTTCTGATGTTAAGAAAAGTTTTTACAATGCAAGTATGTATAATATGGATGTCAAATATGTTTCTTTTATTTTGAATTTTTTAAAGGCATTTAATTGTTGTAATTGTAATTTACTCTAAATTAATTTCTAAATTAATTTCTAACTATTTTCTAATGAATTTATATTAATGAACGGTTTTTATCATTTTTCTTCTCTTAATGATTGCAGGGTCTAAGTACTATGTGGATAGGCAGTCTTACAAAATTGATTCAAGTTGGGCCACTTATGTTTTACTTCATATTTTATTATATTGTTTTAAAAGTATGTGGATATATGTTGTCAATATAATATATTGTACTTATTTTATTTATTCGTGCTCTAGAGGGCAAGACATTGTCTGACAATGAAGTTCTAAAAGGCATTGGTTTGGGTGAAGGTGGCAAGATATTCTTCAAGGACCTGGGTCCACAAATTGGATGGTCATCTGTTAGTAATCTTGACATTTCAAATTTTGACTGTGGTTAATATTTTTAATTGACGTTTTTTTCAATAGCAAATAAAATCACTATTCATTTATGCCATTGCAGGTTTTTCTTGCAGAGTATGCCGGTCCACTTTTTATTTATTTATTTTTCTATGTCAGACCTTCCATAATTTATTCTGTAGACATCAGTGGGAGATCTCTCGCATCTCAGTTTGTAGCAATTTTAAAAATCCTTTCATTGTTTTTTTGCTCATTAAATGTTGTTCAACTGTTTTGCTTCAGCTTAAAAATGCAATATTCAATTTATAGATTATTAAAATTTTTGTCAACCTGATGGTTTGCTTCATGTACAGAGTTGCATGTGCATGTTGGTGCTTCCATTACTTGAAGAGGCTGTATGAAACAATTTACGTGCATCGTTTCTCGCATTCCACTATGCCCTTGTTCAATCTTTTCAAGGTTTCATTTGAGTAGATTAAACATCAGTATGTAAGTAGTGAATGAAATATAAAATTTGCCTAATGAATTTTCTAAGAATTGTTCTTACTATTGGGGATTCACTGCATTTGTCTCCTACTACAACAACCATCCTTTGTACACCCCACCAAGTATAAGCTCGTCTTTTTATCTCATTTAATTTATAAATTGAAAAAATAGTATTAGAATAAGGTTAAAAAAGTTAACCATGATACTATGAATTTAAAAATTTTATAAAATAATTTAGATGATTTAATACTTAATGATTTAATACACATACTTTTAATTTACTTTTATTAATACTAATAATATAAATTAATCAAATGATCTAATTCGTGTTAGGTTACTGGTTTCCACTGTACGTTCTTGCTGTAGTTGGATTCTTTGTAAGATTTTTTCTATTTTTTTCGTTACCATATATTTCTTTACATTAGTTACATTCATTCATAAAAATATCATTTGGAAGGTTTGTGAATATGGCAATTACAGCATCCATATTGCTTTCAAGGATCTCAGACCTCCAGGTTTCATGAGTCGTTCATAAATTACTTATGTTTCTTGATTTTTGGCTGTAAATAATCTCCTGTAGAGCATTTTACATTTTTTAATCTCATTTTCAAGCCCACAAAATTTAATTGAAACATCAGAAAATAAGTTTACTTTTGTAATTATGCAAACCACTCAGAACTTCATCATTATTTGTATTATTATTAGATTATTGGACAGCTTTTACTAGAAGTTTCAAGTTGATTCAGAGTTAACAACAGCCTTGTTTTGGAATATCTTTATATTTTTCAAATAAGTTTTTAAATTTTTATATATCAGAATTGTTTCATGTGTTTTTATAATTTTGGAACTATTTTTATTTTCTAATATAATAATCCACACAGGATCTACAGTCCGTCAAATACCGAAACCAACCACAAATCCAATGACAAGATTGTTTGAATTAGTGTCATGCCCTAATTACACTTATGAAGTTGGCAGCTGGTTCTTTTTCAGCGTCATGATTCAGTCCCTGCCCGGTTAATAGCGCCACTTCAAGTGTCTTCAATAATAAATAAATCTATGATATCATTGTCATATATTTAGTGATTGCGCATTTTTGCTGTTTCTTCATGCTGTTTTGTATTTTATCTTCTCCACAGCTTTTCTGTTTTGTCTGGTGGGTCTAGGTCAGATGAGTATTTGGGCTCTGGCCAAACACAAAAACTACAAGAAGGAATTTCCTGATTATCCAACTAAAAGAAAAGCCATTTTACCATTCATTTTGTAATATAATATGCTACTGGCTTATAGAGAATATCAGATTGGAAGTATAAAAACCAATTAGTTTGTTATTTAATTAACCCATTAATTAACCGAAGTCTGCTGACTTGTTGAAAGTTGTTTTTATAATTTAATGATTTTTTATTTATTCTCAATAGATTATTGAAATTCCCGTTTCAATACCATAAAAAATTCTCAAAAAACTGAAAAATCGAGTGGCAAAATGCTAGCGCATATAAATTCGACACCTCAAGTACATTTAAAACCGTTAAGTAATATGTAGTCTTCATGTAGCATGTACCTCCTTCACTTACAAGGCAGTCGTTGCAAATGCTGACATCAAGATTTAACAATATTCATTTCAGAAAATGTAGGGCACGCAATGTCACAAGTTGTAACAATGTAAAAGAGTGCCAAAAATTTATTTGCCATATCAGTATCAATATACTGATACTCAAAAACCATTGTTAGTGCGTTTGGACGACGATTTGTTAATTAAAAATTATGGATATATATCCATGTTAAGAATATTCTGTGTGTGCTGCTTCTTACGAAAATAGTTGATTCCTACTGCTCCGCGAAATCTTGTTCTGGTTAGTTTCAGCAGTGAAATCACGATTAATTAATTACATTCGCCATTAAGTTATTAGATGTGAGAATTATTGCGTCGATCTATGTTAATCCGGTTAAGTTGAAGGACCGTGAAGATTTTTTATGATTATTTTTATCGTTAAGATCAAGATGCGATAGTTTATACAAAAATACAAGCAATTGAAAGTGAGTAGTTGTGGAGCGTTGTGTAATGTGTTGCACTTTTAGTGAAGCATGTGTTTAGGAAGGAGTCAATGACAAAAATGTCAAAGTTTCAAGAAGTCTAAGGTTTCAAATATTCTCATGCGGTAATTTTAAATACTCGTACACTATGTCAACTGTTTTGACGTTCATGCAAGAAATCGTAAAATATCGTAAAATATTTCACGTGAAAACAAGTCGATTATCCCAAAAAATGAAATCTGGAAAAAAATTATTGCCTAAAAGAAGTCAAATAAAAAAACGTAATTCAAACTAGATTGCGGGTCTTGTTTCTTTTTGTTTTCGTTTTCGTTTTAGAAGGTGGTTGTTGTTGTGCGGCAGTATCTGTGCTGTCAACCCTCAGTGCGTGTCCTTTAGCTTTTATGTGTTCGAACAATTTGTTTCTCGTCTGAAAAGAGGCTTTGCAAACGTTACATGAGAACACCTGGTCAATTGGTCATCGAAAATTTTAAATACAATGCATGAAAATTATATACATTTCCATTCAACGTTCTAACCCACTACAAAGTAATTTTAAAATTAAAGATATGCTAAGTATGTTATCATAATCACGTTCAAACCTGATTACTCACGAACTAAACTGAATAACTGCTTTGGAGCTACTAAAAATATTATTTCACTAACTACTCAAACAAACGTAATTTAAAATAAAGCAGTAATCAAATTACTTCTTTTGTGCTCTGTTTTCTGTTGGCCTCATTTGGCGTTTGTTTTTTGCATGCAGTTTGCTTCGTAACATTTGTGTCTATTAGTTTTCGTTCGTCATCTTCCGTGAAATGGTTTTGTAAATTTTCAGTATTGTGAAGCTCGGATGTGGTGCTGATGAATGGTGGTGTGTCGTTGCAATCAGGTGGGTTACTGGTTTCCTTAATTGTATTATTGTCATTATCTTTTTCACGATTCGTAGCTTCATGTACTTCATTTGTAAGACTTTCTTCAAAAACGTTGTTAATTTTCAATGAGGATTGGATGTTGTCAGTCAAATGTTGGATGTCAATGTTTGACGCCGTTGGTTCTTCTGTGACTTTTTTGTCACCATCCTCATTATCATCACCCTAATTAAAAGTGAATTAAAATACAACACTAGTAATGAAATTGTCAGTTATTTTCATTAATATAAACTTTAATCTTTGCATTTAATTTTAAAAAGTTGCCGATTTAACCAAAGCTAAAATTCCACCTCTTTATTGAAGCATGCAGGATTTAATTTCTTTTGCTGTTTTCTTTTTCTCTTTTGTTTTTTAGACCTTTCAATGAAGAATTACATTTTCACAGTTAGTAATGTTTCAGTTTTCAAAGTACTTTGATGTTAATTTGAAAACATAGCAATTATTTCCAACTTACAATCCTCTTGTTTGAGAGTTAGTAAGATGTAGAGAGTCAGGTTTGGCATCGTCGCCATTATCCTCATCAGCTACCTCATCTACGTTATTATTATTATTACCAACTGCTTTAGAGGTACCGTCGCTATCGTAGGAACTATTCTTCATTTCATCCCATTGTTTCATTTCCTGGACCACTTTTTCAACGTTCACCAAGTGCTTCTTTGACTTTTTGTGGTTTTCGTGTCTGGTAACATCGTAATAAAAGAACACAGTGATAATGGTTTTGACTGTATCAACAGTTATTGTTATTAAATTAAAAAAAATTATTAATTTTTCTAGTTTCCATTGGCTACAAAAACTAACGTGCTGATAGATTTGAATGCCTTGTTACAAACAGGACAGTACAACTCATCCAATTCATTGAGATCAACAACTGCTGCTTCATCATCAATAGGTTTATCATCAACATCATTTTCATCGTCGTCTTCACCTTCATCTTCATCACCTCCGAACTGATGGTCAACCAACTTTTCCAGTTCTTTGATGGCATGTTCCGACGAGGCTGACCAGCTAGCCTCCTTGTAATTCTTCATCTGCCTGTTTGTTGAAACAATTTTTCTTATTGAATCATGCTAAATTTCTCATTTGCATCACTCACTCAGTTCTTTTCTTTCTATCTCTCTCCCTCTTCTCTTCAGCTAACTTCTTGATCTCTGCAGCTCGGTCCTTCAATTTTTGCTAAAAAGATTTAATTAAATAAATATTTGTTGAAATAATTTAATAACAAATTAATAATTTTTCTGTCAAACAATTTAAAATTACATTAGCTAATTTCATATTGAGAAACAATTGCTTCCAAAAATGCTTTAAAATGAATGAATAACCACCGACATTGTAGGCCTTCACTCTTCTGTCTCTTTTCTTCACAAATGCAACTAACGCCTAAAATATATTAAATTTTTTTCATTAAAAATTTCAGATAAAAAAATTAGCAAAACAATCAGTTCCAATGATAACGATGAAAGTCTAACCCTTATTTCTTCATTTCTATTTTTTCTTGCCTTATCTCGAAGTTTTTTGTTCTCTTGCTCCATAGCTTTTCTTATCTATTGTGATAGATTTCAACACTTTGTTATAATTCATGCAAGCATTCATCATTCAGGTGAAAGTTTTTTTAAAATTAGTTAAAAGTCATGGGATGTTAGACAAAAGGTTTGATTGATATTTGAAATAAATAATCCATCCTAGTAGTTTAACAAACTGTATGCAAAGTATGCCAACATGATAAACAATGGATTGAACAATTTTAATCATTATTCTTTTAATTTTTTACTATATTACATATTTATATGATATTTTTATGTGCTCATTTGATTCTCATTTTAAGCCATGCAACCTGTCTGTTAGGGGCTTGTCGGATATCATAATGGTCGACCCAGACATAAGTCTTTGCAGTTGAGTATGAGTCCCAGTACGAATAAAATGGTCCCACAACCTTAAACAATAATTTAACATGCGTGTATATATTCATTTTTGTTTACACACATGTGCTAACACATATAAATGAATACACACAAACACATGCATACGTAATATACATATAAAATTATATATTGACATTTGTATCAAAAAAGATATCGTCTACATGAATAGTTATCATTGCTACAACATTATCACATCAAACTTCGTCATATGGACTTGTAGAGCTCCCAAAATGAGGAGGTAGTTTCATGTTAGGCTCATGATCAACAAAGTCTATATCTTCCTCTGATATCTGCTTGAATATTTCTGAATAAACACTGTAAAATCCCTGGTTGGGTAGTTGTAATCAATGAAATATATTGATTATCAATTGATTAAAATGTATAGAAAATTAAAAAAAATTAGAATGTATAGTTTTAAATGGATCAGATCACTAGATAAGAAATTATCTGAGCTTGTTAGCACAAACCTTGGCATCATCGTCATACCCAGAGTAACACGAGGCATTAAAATATTGAAAGACATTCAAACTCTTATCTTCGTACTGGTCACCTTTGCCTAATCCTAAATTATTCATTAAAATCAAATTTAATCATCTTTCTTAGTGAAGTTATTTTATTATTATGAAGTGTACAAAAATAATTTTAAGGACCACTAACCATAAACTTAAAAACAAACTTTAGAACTAATCTGCTACTAATTATTATGATATCTAATTGTTTAACAACAAACGAAACCTATTTTTGAAACAGCATAAAAAGTTAAACTTTCAAAAATCTACAAACCTCCTTTTAATATTTCATCTCTGTGCTTATCATACCAAGTCCTTTCTTGAGGATCAGACAGAACATCATAAGCCTGCTGAACCAGCAAAAACTGCTTGTGGGCCTCCTCAAATGAATCTGGATTTTTATCTGTTAAATAATTTTGCTTAATTTAAGAAATTTAATGAATTGTTTGGACAAATAACAACAAAACATTTCACAAATTGTATGACGCATGGTTGGCAATGACATATAATATAAATGAGTTGATATAATTATAATAATATAAGATACATGACAACAGGCTTTAAATTTTAGTCCCCATATTCAATTTTTTTAATTAATCAGTTATCTGTTCTATGTTATCTTAATAATTATACTCATCGACACATAGTCGATCTATAACAATAAAATAACTAATTCCTTTTGTTTAAATTTAAATTATATAATAGATAATAGCAATAACATATATCATATATCATATCATATAGATGGAGTCTTATACCTTTATAGCATATCAATTTAATTTAAATTTAATCTAAAATTTTCATCTAAATTGAAATAAACTATTAGTCTTACCTATTGATTCCTAAGACTTAAATTTGTTTCCAGAATAAGTAAATTATTAATTATTTTATATTTTTATTTATAACTATTGAAAGTTAAAATATCAGTTGAAATTTTTTAAAATATAATTAAATATTAAATTAATTATAATATAATTGTTTGTTGTGCAATCTAACTAACTACTCTAACCTAATACTATTTATTATTAAAATACAATATAGATACAATCAAATTATGTCATATCAAATAAACAGATCATAAAGTTTATGACATTAAGATTAATTAAATTAATATTAATTAATTAATTAAAATTAAATAAATATTAAAAATTGCTACTGCTGGTCTCATTGCATTCGAATTCACCCATGCAACCGACAACGAAAAATTAATTAAATTTTAATTTAAACCTGGATGCCAAATTAGAGCATTCCTGCGATAAGATTTTTTAATTTCTTCATCACTGGCATTCAGATTCAAGCCGAGAACTTCGTAATGGCACTTCATTTTCGACGTGATCGAGGCATAAGACGGGTTTGTTTACTTATGCGGTTAAATGAGGATTTCATTAAAAAAGTATGTAGATCAATTCTTTACATAACATTTATTTGTATATCGCACACTATATGGTGTATTATTATGTATTAAAAATACAATATTTACCATGTTCGGATCGCGAAATTTGTAATTTTATTGTTTAATTAATAAAGCAATTTTAGTAATTTTCCCGCAGGTTTTTCAACTCTGTTCTAGTTAGTTCTCTTCATTAGTACAGTTTTAATCAACCGTCGTTAGCTATGTCCAAAGAGTTTTCTTATTTTAACCTTTTTTATTTCCATATAAGTGATTTACAAAAATTTTCTTTTAAACTCCCTTTCTAATGCTTCCCATTTATTTTTGTCACTCTCCTGTTTTGTACGCATATATCAACGTAGAAAACTTACTGGCTTCTAATATATTCTCAACTTTGTTTTGATGGATGTTTTACCACATTTCCAAACTTCTTTGCGAGATCCAAACATTACTCGTGCATTAGCTATTTTTTCAGTTTTGAGTGGCTGTGCTAGATACGTTTAATAAAAAGCTTTGCACACTTCCCAATGTTTTTTTTTATTCTTTTGATGATAAAAAACTGCAAAACTTCTCTTGATTGATTTTATTCTTTTTGTTAATAGGCTTGTATTTCTCCACACACAGTTATAAACCTTCTCCAAAGCCTCGGCGCTAGGATCATGTGTACATCATTTACGGACGTTATCAAAAAAGCAAAATGTCGCTGATATTTTATATACTTTGATGTGATGCTGGTTTCTTTTCTGAATTTTTAACACCAAACAGTGTTATTGATTTTGTAGTCGTGCAAATCAAAATCGAAGCAACATTTTTTATTTTTAATAATTTTATTTTTTACTTTCAAGTTCCTCAATCGTTTTGAAAACGTTGTGTGCCCTATGCCTGCCTGTTCATTCGTGGAAAATATGTAACAGGTCATAAAATAGATATTAGGTTTTAACAAGGATATTATATATATCCATGGGTTTTAACCAAATGATCGACATTCAAAGATGGGTCCCAACTGCAATCTATACTACCAATGTAACTAAATGTAAAATGTAAACAACGTTAAAAAAAAAGGTACTTTTAATTTGTTTGATTGAAAAATATATTTAAAAAAAATCTCCAACAATTACAAAAATTGTTTTTATAATTTTTTAATTAAAAGAATGGTAGAATGGGAGCCGATAGAATCCTCCTAGGTAATGATGAATTTTTATGTAGCACATAATGTTAATAAACTTCCAGCACTTATAAAATTTTAAGCGAGTATCACATGAAGTTGTTAATATCCAGTGGTTTTAGCTGCTTACGGTTACTGCGAATTTGGTAGTAAAGAGTATTGGTATAGTATGATATAGTAGCATAGACGATGTAGTTTTCTACAATAGCGAGCTTACATTTTTGAACGGGTGCTCTGAACAATAAGGCAATGCAGATTAATAATGTATGCGTGCTGTGATATAGATAGATGTGATGGTCGTGTGCATGGCTAAATTGTTGGTAATTATATATGTACATTTATAAGCTGTCGATCGAGTACATTTAATAAGAAATTGATACATTTAAAAAAAATGTTCATTTCTTTGCGAAAATTCTCTACCGTGATGGCATAAAAAATTAATGTTATCATGTTACAACATCTAACGTCTCCGTTAAAATATTTGTTTCAGTGGATTAAAAATAACCCGTGGAAATGGAACTTGGTAATGATAATTGCATTCGCACTAATTCTATTAAACTCAAGAATATATATCAGTTACCATGAACTTATCAGAGGAGAATGGAATGTTGGTGAGGTTTTTAAATTCAACGGAGCCAGAACCACCACATCAACTCCAACAACAAAGAGCCTTCCGTCAAAATACCAACTGTTTAAAGCCACAACTCCGACAATACCCACCGCATCACCAGGTACTACTACACCACCAAGACCTACCACACCACCAAGAACTACACCACCACCAAGAACAACTGCAAACACTTCTACATATTCACCGACTTACAAATGCGATGATTTCCTTTTGTTCGCAAACAGTTTCAAAGATGGTAGAGGCTTAGGAAACCAGATTTTTAACTTAGCTGCTGGTCACTTATTTGCTAAAATGACCAAACGACGACTTGCATTAAATAATTCCATCCTAAATAACATCGGCCTAGAGGAAGTGTTTGATTATCATTACGAAAGATTCAACCAGAGCAACTGCCAATTTTACACGATATCTGACCTGCATAGCTTGGGCTACAACCCTGATGTTGAAAAAAATTCAGAATTGTTTAACTTAACGGCGAATAAAACTATTTTAACTAATGGGTTTTTTCAGAGTTGGAAATATACATTGGACGAAAAACCGTTAAGAAATGTTTATCTAAATTTCAAAACGGATATTAAAAGCAGCATTGAAAATTATTTCACGTCAATCAATCCTGCCAACTGGAGAGCGTCAACATTCACACGAGTGGGTGTTCACGTGAGACGTGGTGACGTCTTGACGGACTCAAAAGTTAAATTCGGCTACACTACACCAAAAGCTTCTTACTTCATAAATGCAATGTTGTACATATTATCTCTTTACAAGAGAGTCCAGTTTATAATAGTCACAAACGACAAAATATGGGCAGAGAAAGAAATACAACCGAAACCATTTCTAAGTCGAAACTACACAACTCAGGATAATTTTAATATTTTGATATCTACATTCGACAGTGCCGCTCATGACTTGGCGATCCTGGCTATGTGCCACCACACTATTATCTCTACTGGAACGTTTGGATGGTGGGGCGGCTGGCTCAGTCGGGGCGTAACCATCTTCTACAGGGATTGGCCTCAACCGGGCAGCCCGTTAGCTTCACTGTTTATAAAAGAAGATTTTTTCCCTCCAAACTGGATCGGCATGTCTGATTAAGTTAGTCAGTTCGTTGGTCAGTTTGCTAGAAGACTTGAAAATGTTTTTAAGCTTATGAAAGGTTCTACGGTTATTTTAACATTACTATGCTAGTGTGCTCAGGCAATAAGTTTTGTTTTATATGTCATCCTTCCAGCTATCAATTGCCATGTTATATTATTTAATTCATTTATAAATATATTTTCTCTCTTTAATATTTTATCACAGACATTTTAATTTTTTTTTTTGATTCTTTTAAACTTCAAACTTTATTTAATTAATGTCTATGAAAAGTTTTTTTAAAAGACGTCAATTATGCGATAATTACTGTGTCTCGTCAGCTGATGATCAATCAATTAATTATTAATTACATAATTGAATAATCTTATTACGGCAAGATGATTTTTACATTCAATTCATTGAATAAAAATTTTGAAATGATTCATTTGTTTCATGCTATGTACAGTTTTTAAAATACCAAGACAAACTAAATATTATTAATACATATTTAGATGTTAATTCATAATTTGTGAGTTGTTACTGATACTAGTCACTTATCACTTATGCAATTTAATAACAAGTCATTTACTATCAAGTTGACAAAATTGCGGCTAACTACTATTGCACCGTCGTAACATGGAAATAATTTACACTTGTTATATTTATATGTAAACAAGAAAACAGGTCACCCGTTGCTATGTGGTGAATGAACAGGTGAACGAATTAATTGACGGCGTTCACCTCCGTTCAATTGTTTGCTTTCAAACTGCTCATCTTCTAGTTGAGTTTTATGCAGATTGTGTGCTGCACTATGTATTAGTATGCTGTAGGAATAAAGTTCAAATATGTTTGTAGGATAGGTTTGCAAGTATATGGGCATGGGTATGTCATCGTTTACTTGTTTGTTTATGTATTTATTTTTCAGTTAGTATGTATTTATGTATGTGTCATCGTTTACTTGTTTGTTTATGTAGTGTCAGAATTATGAAATAATACTGACTAAAAATACTGCAAAATTGAATGGTGCAAGTTAATTTACTCGATAGGTGACAACGTATTTTTTTTGTTTTGTAATTTAGATGACGTCATAAATTATTATAAATTATTTTAAAATTTAATTAATACTTTTTCTGATTAATTGGACATGCCTTGTAAATTTTTATATTTTAAAACACCCGAAACAAAATCTAATTTTGTTTTGATAAGGAAGGGTGTGAAAAGACTTAGAAGAGAAACTGGGTTCACCAGTTAGAGAAACTGGGTTGACTAGTGAGGCAGCTTCGAATAATCAGTGCCTCTTCTGGTCCCTAAGAGACTTAACGCGTGATTCTATGCTCATTGGCATAGTTTCAGAAACGCCTTAAGTTCTCAAAAGTGGATTTAGTACGAGACTCTATGCTCATTGGCATAGTTTCGCACGCGTACTGAAGACACACAACTTGTTTCCAGTGTTGTTCTGACTCTTGTTGTCTTGTGTTGGTCGTGCAAAAGCCGATCAGACTCGACGGCCCAGTGAAAACAGGCCGGGGTTGTGCGAAAGCCGACCGACTGACAGACAGGCCCAGTGAAAACAGGCCCTTGGTCGTGCGAAAGCCGACCAGACTCGACGGCCCAGTGAAAACAGGCAAGGGTTGTGCGGAAGCAGACCGACTGACTGATAGGCCCAGCGAAAACAGGCCTTGAATTCTGTGAAAACGAGTCCGCCTCCTTCTTTTGTTTCTTGTGTTTCTTGTGCTATTTGTGGACATAGGGTTATTTGCTGGATTCTATACTCATTGGTATAGTTTCACACGCAGCTTGCAATTTCCATAGGCTCCGATTTTTGTGATTCATTTTTTTTATTTATTTCTTGGAGTTGTATCGACATCACCATCGGATACACAAGTTGAGGTTTTACGATTAGACGGCAAGAAACATATCCCAAGTTGGAGACCCCAACAAGAAGAGTTCTAATTCCTGTATTCCAGTTTGTTCATTGACATTTACATTATTATAGAGTTCATTAGTTCAATTCCTTTTATTTACTTCCGTCGATTAATAAAATTATTATCGAATATTTTTACGCGTTCGTGTGTTACTCAGTAAAATCATATAATTCGAAAAAGCCCAGTGCCACACAGGACTGGTCGAACTCACGATAAAAATATACACAAAAATTATTGTCGGACCATACAAAAATTCCCTGAGAAAGATAGAGGAGGAGATTACCTCACACCACCAGCTGTTTTAATTGTTTTCATTTTATAAATTTTCCGACAATTAGCGCCCAACTTGGGGCTTTGTCACCCTTTTAAAAAATCCTCCTCGTCATTAATTTATTATTTATTATTTTAAAAATTTCCGACAGTATATATTTTTCAGTTAGTATGTATTTATGTATGTGTGTTTTATGTGTGTATATATGTATGTATGCATGTATGTATGTATGCTTGTATGTATGTATGCTTGTATGTATGTATGCTTGTATGTATGTATGCTTGAATGTATGTATCTATGTATGTATTTTATGTACGTAGGTGTGCACTTTTAAAACTTCTTCATTTTATGGTATTATAACGTGATGTGCGATTATAAAGCCGAAAAATTCAAGTACCTCGTAGTTTGTAGAAGTAATTAAGTCATGGCATGTAAACTATTTGAACTGGTTTAAAATAATGAATGAATATGAACAAATGTTTGAACCCTTTCATTAGTAATCTTCTTTATTCTTTAACAAACGTCAAAAGCTAAGTATTGAACTGACACACACACACACACACACACACACACACGCACACACGCACACACACAGTAAATACAAAAAATAATAAAAATTGCTTCTGTGTAGCGCTTATAGCAAAGTCACGACACACGCCACTTAATTTCAGAAAAAATATCGTGGAATGATGTTTTGTAGCAATTAAGTAAAAATTTCGAAACTATGTGCTTATTAATAAAATATTAATTATTTGCATTGCACTGCACGTCCAAAATTACAAGCTGGTAATGAGTTATATATATATATATATATATATATATATATATAAAGAGAGAGAGAGAGAGAGAGAGAGAGAGAACACGTATTTATTGAAAGGTGTTTTAGCTTGTTGCTTAGATAAGTTGTATATTAATAAAAACGCAAAATTGTTGCAGTAAAGTTGATAGAAACAATGTTTAACATTTTCAGGACTTTGTAATGTATATTAATAAGCGGCAAATGTGTTACCATGCTTAGAGATGGATCGAATAAATGTACGTACCATTAATCAATAACTTTCTTTCGGCTTGTAACTGTGTATAATTTATTCAAATTACTTTAGCAAACATTACGTACACTTATGTATCAGATATATTGTGTATTATTTATGCTACTCTACTTTGCTACTGGACTGCAATATTTTTTAAAATGATTAAATTTTGTCGTTATTTATTTGTACAAATTACTATTGTTCAAATAAGATCTGCAAATATGCGATGCAAAATAAAATGCTAGCATTGGCGTTGCTTTGATTGAATAAGCAAATTGAAAAACATTTCAAAATGATTTCTTATCAAACTTTGTTTACACTTTTAAATCAAGTTACATCCCATGTTACGTTACTACAATTTCAGGATGATTATTTTGTTGTTAATTTGTTCAAAATTAATGATGAATTATTGAATTTGCCAATAAAACTGTTGGTATAAGGTAAAGCAAAATTTAAAAAAATGTAATAATTATGAAACTATTGAAAAAAATAAAGTAATAACAAATATTTTCACACCTGCATATAAAAATATAACAGGTATGAAAATCAGCGCGAAATGCACGCTGCAGTGGTTCTGGCGGCTGTATTCTGTGTTGTTAACAGCCGCTTCCTACGCAACATTTGATAAAGTTGATGAGAGGTGTTCATTTTTTACTCAATCATTTAGTCATTTGGTGCTCACATCAGAACTCAGAAGAACAAGCAAAACAACAAACAATATCAGTGGTGTGAACAATTGCGACGATTTTGTCATTTTTTTCTGATGGTTTTCATGACAACCGAGGAATAGGTAACCAGATTTTTGAACTGGTTGCTGGGCTAAGAGTTGCAAATGTCTTTGGCAGACGCGTAGCTGTCAGTACTTCATCTGTCAAAAGTCTTGGTCTAGAGAGTGTCTTTGACTTTACTTACGAACGACTCGATGAAAGAAAATGCGAGAAATATATTATTAAAGATTTTCCCAATTTAGGATATAACCCAAGTTTTGACAACATTAAAGAAAATTTTTCAGAAAAATCTACGAATAAGTTAATCATAAAAAAAGGGTTTTTCCAAACTTGGAAGTATGCAATGGACGGATCGTTGATACGTCAAAAGTTTTTAAACTTTAAAGAAATAATTCAAATCAGTGTTGATAATTATTTCCTCAATCTTAAACTGGGCAATTGGACTCGGTCGACTTACGATCGTGTGGGCATTCATGTTAGGAGGAGAGATATTCTCTCCAAGTTTTACATTAATTATGGCTACACAACGCCACAAGCTTCTTATTTCATTAAAGGCATGCTCCATTGTCTCATGATATTCAAACAAGTCCAGTTTATTGTTGTTAGTAACAGTGGCCGAAACAAATCTTATAGCGGAAAATATCACCAAATAATTATACAACGAGTGATCATTTCAATATAACATTTTCACCTTTCTCGTACTACCCTTGCCACGACTTGGCGATCCTGGTCATGTGCCACCACAACATCATCTCGACAGGCACGTTTGGCTGGTGGGGGCTTGGCTCAATCGAGGCATGACCATATTTTATCAAGATTGGCCTAAAGCACATTAGCTTCTTTTTTGTCAGAGATGATTTTTTCCCTCCACACTGGATAGGAATGTCTGATTAATGGCACTAAAAAATTTATTTTGTTTTGAAGTTTTCGTAGTCGGCAATGTTAAATAAGGATAAATGTTAAAAAATTGCAGAGTTAATGAATTTGTTAAATTTCTAAATACATTTTCATTTTTCAAATGGTTTAATTTATATAAATTTTCCTCTTTTAACAATTTTTGCTATATTTATTATTTTGACAATTAATTGGTTTTCATGAAAAAATGTCAAGAAATGTTTTCTAATCTCAACTGTAATGTCCATTTTACGCTATCATCACAGTTTGTATTTTTATTATGACGAGTCAAAAAAAATGAAGTCCTAATAAGATGACATTTAAAAAATTTAATGAAGTTATTTGTACTTAAAGTCTAAATTGAACATAAATTTGTTTTTTTGTGATATGCTCCCTTGAAGTTCGGTTGTCGCAATTTTTCATTTGTATGAAATTGTGTTAAGAAGCCACTATTTTATAAAATCATTTATATTCATTGTAAGAAATATCTGTCGGTCTGCTATCCACAATAAAAGATTTATCATACAAAATGTAAATTGTCAACCATTTTGATCTATAAATGAATGATTCGTCTCCATGTAGCAATGATAACAGCAATTGCTCGAATGGTCGTTCGTCATAACATTTCACGTTCATTCGACAACGTACTACCAAACTTCATTATGTCAATTTTTAATTGGAAGCGTCAATTCTCATGGATACGAAGGCTGATATTTTGTCAAAATAATTTTGCTTTTTGCCTAAAAGTTTTTAATGATTATTATTTTTTTAAATTGTTAAAAACATCTTTCAAAAAAACATATTACAGTAACATATTTTTACTATTTTTTAATTTGCATTGATTTTATACAGCAGAGCACTGTGCTGTGCAATCGATATTATCGTTCGGCATGAATAAAAGCCTAACCCATAATACACACAAATACGCACACAAACATTTAACGATTTTCAAAAGCTTTATTTTAATTTATTTTCTGACAAAATTTTTTAGCGAGTTAATACACACTTAACTATTTTTAAACCAAACTTAAAACATTATCGCATAATAAAATGCTTAAGTAAAAGTCTTAATATGTAATTGTAATTTAAATACCTACAAAATTTTATTACAATTCAAGCTGTTAGAGAACGCAACACATTTTGAGTAATTAATAGCAAATTAACCCTATTCGGATTTTTTATATAACTTTATTTCACTGAAAATTTAATAATAAATTAAAATTTGTAAAGTAACAAAGTAATTCTATTAACAGATTATTTAAAAAAAATTAAAAATAATTGATTCATATAAAATGTAACTCAAAGATTTTGCGGTGTTTCAACAACTCTTCAAAACTAACGCGAGATCTTCAGTTAGACCTACTGTAATTAGTTCATAAAATCAACCAATCTGACTTCGAAGCGACCCAACGCAGTTACTTGAATACGTAAGAGTAAGTTAGTTTATGCGATATATTGACATTGCTTGACAAAAGTCATGGAGATTAGTTTTTGACTTGCACAAACAATTTGACGTGATTATAAGTCAGCATTTAGTTGTGTGTGTCTGTTAAAAAGTTTTTAGTACAGGTTTGCATGCAGCGGGTAGCTGAATTGTTTATAAATAATTTATTTCAAGTAGCCAAAATACTTTAAGAGTCATTGGAGGTTAATTTAGCTACATAATATTTGTAGCCTTTCAAGGGCTTGTTGAAGGACTTTTATTTCCGTGAAAAATTCATATTACAAAATCGTTTTACTATTTAATCAATACTGTTGTATGGTCAATGAATTAATTGGTCAACAGCAGTGTTTTGCCTTTAGGTGAATTACGGATGTTTGTGCAATGGGCAATGCAATCTGTCCCACGATTCCGATCCGTTAATATCTGGTTCACTATCAGTTGTTAACGCTAATTTAAAGTTCTTACAGTCCTTTGATAATTCGTCATCTTTCATGCTGTTTATATTTTATAGAAACTTAAATAACTTTCTAATAGTGAGTAAATCTATCCTTAACCTACTACTCCTTGTGAAGATGTGTCTAATATCTAGTTGTAAAAAAGATACTCTTAACTAATCTTAATGAAAAATTGTTTTGCTTAAATTTATAAATTATAACAGTTAAAAATTACTATTAATTATTCACAATGAAAAAAATTGCAGATATACCACTTCTTGAAAATTTAAAATTGCTTTGTCGTCTTCGCCTAACTAACGATTCACATAAATATAATATTGGATAAGAAACATTTTATTTACCGATCTTCTAATTAAACAATTTAATGTTTTGTTACAAACATAATAATCTATTTAACTCTATATTTTTTTAATTGAATATTCAAACTCTTTTTAACATTTATGATTTTAAAAAATGGAAGCTTTTTAAAATTTTTAGAAAGACAACTTCCTTGAAGAAATTTGAAAACTGAGCAAAGATTAAATAAAGGTTAACCTCAAAAAAAAACAATCTATTCGAATTAAAAATTTTAACAATTATAAGTTTCACGTTGCTAAAAATTAGTGAAAGTTAATAATATTTTCAAGAGAATATGCGCCTCTTGAAAACCTTAAAATTGTGCTGCCTTAGGCGGCCGCCTATGATGCCTTGCCTATGTATGCTCAAAACCGGGCCTGTTGTTACGTCATTGTTTATGAAAAAAAAACGCTTCAACTGTTTTCTATTTTTGTCTAAATTTCAAGCTCCATCAATTTACAAAATTTAACTTATTGAATAATTTTCATCATTTAAAGTTTACAATTCATTTAAATTCAAAGAATTGACAAAAGATCTGACCGACAGAAGTACATCTACCTGCTGGTTTTGTTGAATTAATTGTTGAACATCAGTTAATTTTTTTATGGGTATGCTTTGGTGCGCACAGAAAAAACATTATGCACTAAAAAGAACTCGAATCCACAAAAGGTAGTGCCAAGGCCGTTAAGAGACTGAGTTGTATCGTTTATAGCGGCCCTTTATACAATATCTGACCATAAATGGTAAGCTTGCATATTTAGCAAATGGTTTTTGATGAAAATTGTCTCCTGTTAGAGAATAATAGAACGACGTGAATAGAGAAACTTTTGATAATTTTTTAGTTTGTGGTTGAATGTATCAACATAAAAATTATTTGATCTTAATATCAGAGGTGGACATGGGTCCATTTTTACTGACCCAACCCAACCCATCCCAACCCAACCCGCCTGAAAATGCAACTTTTCAACTCAACCCGACCCAACCCAACCCACGACCCATCTGCACGAGTCGCAATTTTACCAAACAGGCAAATTTTTACAAATGATATTTAAAAAGCAGAACTCAAAAATACAAGATCATATGTGTAATAAAACACACTGGTGAAGTAATCACATTGCAAGTGTAATAAAATAACATGAAAATTAATTAAAAATTAAATGTTAAAAATATTTTCCCACAACAACGTCAGAAACATCAAACTTTCCATATTTGGCACCTAACTCAACACAGCTCTGCATCAAATTGAGAAGCCCTTTATTTTCAACAGATTTGAATGAGTGGTAACCATCAACACAGAAAAAGATCTGCCTATGCTTCAACATCGTTAATTCTTGAGGAGACAGTTGAATTTTTCGTTTCAAGCATTGCTGGATTTTCAACTGTGACTTTGGCAAGACTACAGCACAATGTTTAATATGTTCTTGCTGATTTTTAGTGCCTAAGTTTTTACCTGATGAATCTTTAAACTGATATACCTTATTGCACTTAATACAAGCACAATACTCAATAGTAATTCACAGGAATTTCACTTTCATCATTTTCCTTTTTTTGAAAAACCATGTGAAATTTCTGCCAGATTTCTGATTTTAAATTTGTGGGTGCTTTTAATATATACCACCCTGTTTTTTCTGGAATGAATAAATATTTAAATACTTAAGTATGTTCAATCAATCAATTAAATTTATCTAATGAATGTGATTTCTAAACTTCAACAGTGCCCAACTAAAATTTGAAAAATAAACCATTTCTAGGTAGAAAAAAGAAAGAAAATGAAACATGAATATCAGGTAAATAAGTAAAATGAGCAATTGAGAAAAAATTCTGATGTCTGTAAAGTGTAACTGTAAAGACTGAAAAGATTTGAAATTATGAAAAATAACAGTTAAATCTTTAAAAAAAGAATTAAAACATAAAAAATGTAAAAATGTTAATGTGAAATTTATTAGATTTTTTACTTTCGCAAACTTAGCAAATTTAAATCACACAAACCTCTCAAATAACGCTGAATTTCTTCTGATTCTGCCATACTTGTAAATAAAACTAATTTTCTCGATCGGAAAGAAGTTAACTTTTGCTCAACTCAATAATCACAAAAAGAAAGTGGAAACGATAGACCAAAGATACAATAATATTACAGCGATATAAAATACACCGATTATTAACTAGTTAAAATGTTCGTTTAAGAATAAAAAAAAATACAGAAATAAATTATTTATAATAAAATTTGAAAATTTGAACCCAACCCAACCCACACAACTTTAAAAAATTTGAACCCAACCCAACCCAACCCATGGGTCAACCCAACCCAACCCAACCCATGGGTCAACCCAACCCATGTCCACCTCCGCTTAATATTGCCGCATAAAAGTTATAAATATTTTCAGCAGGCGGAATCAATGGAAAAGGGGTTTGTATTTTCATTTCATCGTACCAATAAATTCGATGTTGCTTCTTTTAAATATGATGTTATGTTCTTAAATCATTCATTTCGTAAGAATGAAAAAGCAACGTAGGGAAATAGATGAAATCATTAATTGAAAAATAAATTTTATCAATAAAATGAACTTTCAAGAAATTTGAAATCGGTAACCTGGTTCGAACGCGAATGATCCCAATCCGATGATAATTTATTCCCTTTCACTTGTCAGGTTGTTTCCAATGATGCATGTAGGCACAGTGTATGTTCGATGTACTGTTGACATTTCAATAAGTTTCAATGAATATTTAAAAATAACCCTGTTTTTAATCAACAAGCAGGGCAAATTGCATGGTTTCAACTACTCGGCTACTAACTGTTGGACATTTGGAAAGATTATACGTCATAACAGCTACCACTTTTTTTGTTTTTTTAATCAAAATACTCTACGAAATTGATAAAAAATATTCGCTAACATATCAATATTCTAATATTTCAATAGTCAAACCTGGAAATGATAGCGAAATGAATATAACTCAAAATCAAGGTGAATTACAAAAGTTTCTCTCAGCTAAATTTGTTTATTACGAGGAAGATGTTGTTTTGAGCTACAGGTGCGATGATTTCGTCATATTTTCTGATGAATTCTTCGATAAAAGAGGAATAGGTAATCAGATTTTCAATTTGGTGGCTGGATTATTGGTTGCAAAAGTTACTGGAAGACGTGTGGCCATTGACAAATCTGTTGCAAAAAGTTTTGATTTAGAAGCAATATTTGATTTTGTTTACGAAGACTTTAATAAAACTGGTTGCAAAACGTACACGATTTATGATTTTCGCAGTTTGGGTTATAATCCAGATTTAGAGAATGTCAAAAAACTTGTTGGAGGAGCGAAAAATAAAACAATAACTTTGAGTGGATATTTCCAAAGTTGGAGGTATACAATAGATGAGCCCACGATACGTCAAAAGTATTTGGTTTTCAAGGAAATGTTGGTTACTACTATTGAAAAATATTTTCTTTTTATCAAACCAGCAACTTGGACACCATCGACCTATGTACGTATTGGCATACACGTTAGAAGAGGAGACGTTTTGACAGATCGGTCAATAAATTTTGGCTACACAACGCCACAAGCTTCATATTTCATTAAAGGCATGCTCCATTGTCTCAAGTTATTCAAACGAGTTCAGTTCATTGTTGTCAGCAATGACATGCAGTGGGCTCAAGAAAACATTACAGCTGAAGAACTTCTGTTAAATAATTATACAACGAGTGATCATTTCAATATAACATTTTCGCCTTTCTCGGACTACCCTGGCCACGACTTGGCGATCCTGGTCATGTGCCACCACAACATCATCTCGACAGGCACGTTTGGCTGGTGGGGAGCTTGGCTCAATCGAGGCATGACCATATTTTATCAAGATTGGCCTAAACCAAACAGCACATTAGCTTCTTTATTTGTAAAAGATGAATTTTTCCTTCCATACTGGATAGGAATGTCTGATTAATTTTTTTTACAATGTTGGTTTTAAAAGAACTAGCTAATATTTTTTGATCAACTTTATTTTTAATGCGATGCAATGGAAATTACTGAGCCAAACTACTAAAAAAACTTCGATGGGTAACCCACGCCCTAGTATCAAGTAATGTGTGTGGTGCAACTTTGGCATCAATTTATTTTTCTTGAAAAATCAAAACGAATGCTAAGGCGACGAAACGAACAAAACTAGAACATAATGCAATATTTGTATGATACTTATTTTTCTACGTTTTTATACACTGATCAAAATTTTTTCATGCTTACAATAAGCTAGCGATCATGAGTAAACGTTTTTCAACGAACTCAAGGCCGGTGTTAAAAACGGGCTTGACGGTGATTCAGACTTATCCACGCCTAAGTTCTCTTTCACACCATCTCCATTTCCTTCAAGAATAAGATGCTTCAATGCTTCTTCCAACGTGCCAACAGGCAGTCTACCGTACATTAGACTCCAGTTTTTGTTGGCAAACTAAAGACAAGTTCGGAAAAGCAAACAAAAACCGTACACGAAATAATTTTAGTAATGACACTAAAGTAGATAGGTTAAAAGTCGAACCTTACGTTAATTAATTATATCGAAATATTGAAATAGTTTATTGAATTGTGTCGGACCAATCTGTCGCCAGGGAAATTTACGGGTCTACATAAACACTTTCTTGCGGAATAAAGATTTTTTTCTCAATCGATGTTTTTTGATTCCACGATATGCATATTTATTGCATATCGATCAATCAATTCAAATGGAAGGCCCTAACAGGTACGAATAGCAAGCATTAAGAAACAACAAACTTTACAAATTAAATAATTTTTTAATTCATTGGTCCCATTTTTGAGAATTTTGTAATTTCCATAATATCATATAAACTTTTAAACTGACACGGTGCAATTTTGGTAGATATGATTTCTTGCTGATAAATACTTTAAAACTGATATAAAGTAAATATTTATCATGTAGCATGAACTCAAAGCGTGAAAAATTCAGATGGTACCTAATTACTTCAAATAGAGATAAAGTGTCTAAGGACAATAAACCAAGTAAGTAGATAACGACAGATCTATTGAAGATATGAATAACTACGATAATTGTAAATGTTCCAGTTGACAAATACACTCTACGTGCATTTGAACGTTGAATGTCTTCATACAGTCATCAGGTACACAACGTAGCTCGTCAACATAGGCAAAAAAGCGTTGTTGCAATAAGCATTAAAATTATTCAATGATTTGAAATTAAAGCGAAACAAATTTTGAAAGATTAGTAAAATATAAGAACAAAATTGACGTCGAATGTAAAAAAATTAAGATATATTTTGAAAATGTTACTGAAGGTTAATGTTGTTTGAATGATTGAAATCTTAAAGATACATAAGTATGTATATGTTCTTAACCATAGGACAAATAAGCAGTTCTGTTAACAAAGCTATACCGTAGTCAAAAAGAACACTGAATTATGGCCAGTTTTTTTTTCATGAAGGTAGGACAGAGAAACAAGGATTAACCTATTTTACTTAACTTGATGGTTAGTATTAAGATGATCGAGGAGACCAAAATAAAAGTTTTATATATTCTACAAAATTGTCTATAAGATAACAACATTAATACAAGAAATTAAGATAAGAAACCGATGAAAATGTGATGAAAGAAATGCAGCTTTTTATAAAATTGTACTTAACATACGAAACGCTAGCGGCATTTGAGACAACAAGATCACTGGAGTTATGTCATAAATAATAATGAATGGTCTTCAGATTATGTTAGCTCTAAAATAATAAATACAGTCAAATACATAATTCACATTTAAATGATACACCGAATAAACAAAACCAATTTAATTTAGAAATTTCAGAAAAGAGCATGAAACAAAATAATATCTATTTTAATTAATAAATTCAAACAATGATTTTGAATTTTTTTCAAAACATTTTTAACGTTTAATTCAAAATAAATGACAATCAAGACAATGGTGGAGAATTATAAAACCATAAATCTAACAAGCAAGTTCGTAGCTGTATGTATACGATAAAAATTAAATGGGAAACTAATACAATAATAAATCGATAAACAAACATATGTGGTTGTGCAAATATACATGAAAACGCGAGCACATGCACTCACAAAAATGACGCTTAAATCTTATAAACTAAGACAACGCAGACGCACAAACGCTCACGAAATAGATGCTTAAATTTTGTAAGTTAAAATAATAATAAACTAAGTTTGCGTTTAAAGCATAATCCCTTTCCAGTACACTGATAATTTGTACCTCATTTCATTTGGTATATGATTTACAAACTCTTGACGACATCTATAAACTAAGGAACAAATGAAGTCTGACAAGCTATAAATATTTTGAATCCCAATTACTCATGCCTGCATAGTATTTCAATCCATTTCAAACTGTCTTTGTAGACTTATTAAAAATTGTAATGCATTGAAGACAAATTAAGTTCAAATATCAGATGTATGCAAATTTTGTATTAATAACAATTTTGTATCAAAGATGCTGCGAATACTAAATTGTTATATGACAATTATCTATCTCCAATATTTATACTTGATACCTATCTCCTACATTTGTACTTAAAAATGCGAGCAAATGGACACCATTACGCAATTAAACAAAATAACAATTCACCATCATTTGAAGGGTCTGTTCAACCTAAGAGATACCAGATAGAGGGATACATTCAGGATCAATTTGAAAAATGTTCGGATCCAAATCCTGTTAAATTTTTACCATCTTCCAACAGCTGTTCACGATAATAAAAAATGTTTATATACTCCAAATAAATACCATTATATATATATATATATATATATATATATATATATATATATATATATATATATAATAAAAAAATTACGGTTGAGACTATATAATATAAATATTTACGTACAAACATGCACATATACATAACATGACTGATATATTCACAAATTAATTTGAATAATATAGAATAATTTTGATTAAAACATAAAGTGAAATAAAATTTGCATAAAATGCCTCCAATAACGTTATAATGTTAATATATTTGTTAAATATCTGTACAATTCGTTCACGCACAATTATATAAATAATGATAATTTACCTCAGCCCAACCAACCACGTAATCACCAATAGCACAGACGACTAATCATTCAAATAGACATTCAAAAACTGAGGACAACAAATGAATGTTGGTTGAGGATTTTTATATGAATCATTTATTATTCTCAAGCCAGGAAGGTTTTGTCGAGTTAGGCGTCTTCAGTTTGATGTTAAACTGTTTCATCGTCTCCTCCAGTGCCACCTGGTTGCCTGAAAAGTACGAGGCCACAGCATTGTGGAACAGGACCAGTTGCCTCTGCATTACATTAACCTGCAGAAAATATTACTATTAATATAGATCAATTATAACTTTTCAGTGCTTTAAGTGTTCCACATCCTAATTTTTATAGTGAAACATAAATTGAAACTTGAAATATCACATTATATGGAATGTCTAAAAATATTCATAGCACCATACAAAAATTACTAACTCTATTTTCATCCAAGAATTTCATTTTAATAGCAACATCTGATCTGAGGTTTTCAAATTTTTCTTTGTGTGCCTCATACCTCTGTTGAGCATCAGCCAGTCGTTGTGACTGGACAGAATCCTTTGTTCCAACCATCTGCATCGACTCCACATCCAGTCTGTATGCATCATATTCTATCCTGTTTCAAAAACATTACAGTTCAATTTAATTTAGACCATGACAAGAAATGATTCTAACCAAGTGATCAGATAGAAATAAAGGCACAAACTCAAATGAACTAAAGAGTTAATGATCTGGTAATAATAAAACTTTATTTCTACTATAGAAATTAGTTAAGCATCAAAGTAGCATGAAAGATAATATGCACACCTTGCAGATTCATAATGTCTTATTGTGATGAGTGTATCTTCAATGGTCTTGTTACACAATGTTGTTAAAGTGGAGATGAAGAAGTTCAATGCACCTACAAACATTCAATTGAAAATTCTCACACTCCAAAACAATGAAATAAATAAATAAAATACTTTATGTAAGATATCTTGCCTTTTTTATAAGATAAATCTCATGCAAACACAATGAATGCAAATACATCAAACTAAATTTTTTAAATAAGCAAAATAGATGTGAAAAATAAATTAATTTGTGATACCTAGTAATGTTTCACCATTCTTACACAGAATCTTCTGTGTCTCAGAGTTGTAAGTAAATTCTTCATGAAGTTCAGGATTCTTTTGGGAAAGTTGGCTGAATGCATCACCCAATGACTTCTGTGTTTGGATGACCTGAAAGTATAACAAATCAGTAATCAATATGAATGACAAACATCTGAAAGAATTTTACAACACAGTCCTATACATTTCCAGGATTATTTATTGTTATATCTGAACAAGCCATTAGCCAGCAAAACATGAATTTCAACACGGGATTCACATGTTGTACATAAACATCATCAATAAAAATTTGAAAATATTCAAATTAGAAAAGGAAAATAAATGTGCCATGAAAAAGATTAACACAAACTTGTGTAAAGTGTGTAGTTAAAGACTTAGCAAGCTTCAACAAATTTAAATATTTCAGTTGTGTGTCCTTTAAAGATTCAATTTGACCTTCCAATTCTGAATCAACAGTCCTCGTTGCCTGACCTAGCTTTTCTGACAACAATTGCTTTGTGAATTTATAAGTGCTGAATGACCAGGCCTTCAAGCTGCCAATTTTTGACTGGGGAGAGAAGATGGCTTGTGATGGTGAAAGTTTAGGGGTTGGAACACTACCCTCTATGCTACCATCAGGACTTGACAAAGGAATGTTGCTTGAAGCTTTATAATATTTAATTTAATCAACAAAAAGATAATATACATTATATAAGTAGACAAGTCAACTGTTATGAAAAACTTTTACATACTGAACATTTAAGCACTACACTGCACTACTGCCAAGATCTATAATAATTTCATTAATTGCAATATACAACCTTACCCAATGATTATGACTTTACTTTCTTTTACAATATATACACTAACAACTTAACAAGTGTTGTTAACAGTTAAGATCATTGATAGAGGGCATACATATTCTTTCTCCGCCCGAGCCCAGACTCATATTTTAATTTTGTTGAAAAATTTTTAGCAAAAATGAAAATAAATTTTTTGAAATCAGTAAATGTCACCAGAGTAGCAGACAGACCTGGAGGTACTGGTTGATTGGATAAACCAACACCGCTAGGTAGCGTATTGGGACGGTTATATGTCGTTGCTCCGTCTGATGATGACTGCTGATATTTATAATTTAAATTGTCAGGAAGTGCTTCTTTCAACTCTTTCGAAATTTCTTCAATCTCATCATCTTCATCGTCTTCCCCGAAGTTGTTGATATGATTATTAACACCATTCATTGTCATTTTTTACGCACGGAAAATTAACGAGTCAATTTCAACAATATAAAAACAAGTTAATTAGCATTAAACTTTAAAAAATAATCAGAAGAATTTACAGGGTAGTCAAAAAATGTTACTCACCACAAGACGCCATCGTAGAATTACAAATTTAATGACATCAGTGATGTGCTTGAATAAATCACTAAAATTAATTCGCCAAAATTTGATGAGACATGTATATAGAATGTAACATGTTATATTCAATATATAATCTGAGAGGTTATTGAGGTTCATGTATTTAAAATTAGTTCTGAAAATTAAATCAAGCATTCATCTGAGCATTAAAATATAGATTAGTTTTTACATTTGTGTGACTGGCTTTCGTATCTCAACGAAACTATCTAAGCAGATAGGTTTACTATGTATCATCACGTCTACAATCACCAAATGTTTAACTCCAGCTTTCTAGCATACACCATATCCAGGCATTTTTTAAATTTCTTCTCTACAAACATTTAAAAGTTTAACTACATGTTTAACACAGACATTTTTACTTTACAAATATGCACACGAATGTTCGTAAATCAGTTGACACACAATCGTGACTCATCAATATACAACGCATGATTGTGGCTTGAGGAAATGTGTATTCGAACAAGCCATCACATATGGAAAAACATCGACTAAATATTGCTGTTCCTAGTGTGCTTACACGAGATAAAGAATTGAAACACTTCACAAACCAAAACCTCAACATGACTAACAAGATTGGCAATACAACACAATTTTTGAAAATGTAAATAATAATAAATAATTTGAATAAAAATAAGTTCCATAAGCTAATGAATGAATAAGATAGATAATAAATACAATAATCTATAACACTATCAGCTGCATCAAACTCCAATTCTATTTAAGCAATGACCATTTAATCTGTTCCTTTGCTGACTGCAATACCTTTATGAAAATATCATTTCAGGATTATTTTAGCGAATGAATTTGCACTAATTTTTATGATATAAGAAGATGATTTAGAAAAAATAAACTTTTACTCAACTAGAAATAAATTAACAAAACGTGAAAATAGAGTGAAAACATACTGAAGCAACTGTTTGTTCTCCAAGTGGAAGATCTTCTGACCTCACCGACACTCGCTGAGCGACCACCATTGGGTCAGACTCCAGAATTATGCTGAAAGAGAAAAAAACAATAAATAATTCAAGTATGTATTTTTGACAAAATGCATTTAACTAATTTATTTATTTATTTTATTCACATAAACATTACTTTTTCTTATTTGTGTTGCCTAAAAAACAAAATAAAATGTTTCACACCCATTGTCACAGATTTCATCCAGAGTTTGAAAGACAGCATCAAGATTTTCTACCAAAGTTCTCTTTTCAACATTCTTCCTCAACATATGATTTAAAGAATCAAAAAGACAGTTTAGGACACTAACTAAAATGAGCTGAAAAAATAATTTTGTTTTCAAACATTTCAAACATGAAAAATGTCACAAATAAGAAAAAACATTTAGTACTTCATTTTCCTGTAAACTACCAATAACATAGAAATATAAATCAACACTGCTTCTGTAGACGCAAGTGAAGAAGTCCAACATTATAATTTCACCTGATATAAAATATAAATCGATCAAACATTACATTTTATATTTGAAATAATAATGCGCATAAAATTAATTCATTTAACTGATTTATATTTATTATTCATCAGTATAGAATGGCAATGAAAATTTTTTCTGGTTTAGTAACCAATATTTTTAAAGCCATCTAACTGAACAGTTTAATTCAAAAAAGTGATTGATTTCTAATTTAACAAAATAAAATAACTAGCTTAAAATCTAAAAAACTAAACGACAATTCAAGCTAAATATTTGTTCATATTTATTCATATATTCTAAATGGACTAGAGTACCATTAGTTCTGTGAGTCTTTGAGAAGAGATTTTTTTCAAATAGTTTTTCCTCCTTAATACTTGGAAAAGGTTGTTGGTAATACTGTTAATTGGAAAAAAAATTGGAAAAATAAATGAAATGAATCGTAATTAAAAAATGTTTTGTTACAAATATTATATATATATATATATATATTTATGTATATATATATATATTTATGTATATATATATATATATATGTTTAGCATGATCCGATTCGCTTATAACATAGTATAGACATGGTATTATTCATACAGGGTGTCCAAAAAATGTTGAAGAAATAGCATATATGTAAGATTGAATGTAGATACTAGAATTGCTTCTAGTGAAATTTCGGTTGTATGTCATATTAGAGATAGAAATGAAACAAAACAAATATTAAATCATGAATATTGTTACTTTGGCAACAAGTCTTCTACCATCGTTGTCCATTATGATAATTGCTTTGACATTGTACAAAGATGGTTCCTATTAGTTTAAAATTATAAATTTAAATTTTTAAAAAACACATGTAAAATATAAATATGACAAATTCTTTTTTGAATGCAGTACAAGTTCTAATCTAAACTAAAACAATATTTTATAATAATAATAATGTAATATAATAATCTCATTATTAAATAAAAAAAATAATAATAATCCCTCACTATAATTATAATATAATAATCAGAAAACTAATAAATGAAAATTAATAAAAAAATTAGTTAAAAAATTAATGAAAATTAATTAATGAAAAAAATTAATGAAAAAAAGTATAAAACAATAATATATTCTATTTAATTTATTGTATTTTATTTATATGACAAACATCATAATTAATTAATTTTGGTAACAATAAAATAATTAAAAAATTTGTTTCACAAGAATTCCATTTAAAATTTTTTTTCTTAATTTAATAAATTTTAATAATTAATTTAAAATACTTCATGCAAACTTTTAATTGAAATAAATATTAACAAAAACTTGAAAACTCACCATAAACGACGACCCCATTTAACGTAAAATGGTTTTGCAAACTAAACTGAACTCACTAATCTAGACCGAGTGACGGAATTTTAGAGGTACAAATTGTCAAACACAAGCATCCAATGCGGACGATAATACAGTATGCAATAATACCAAAGAAAATTTATCAACATCAACCTCAACCATATATATAGAATATATAGAATGTGTTCTGTATATATTTCCTCAACATTAAATTGTCACCTACCATTGAAAACAATTCATAGATTTTACCCATCGACTTAGACATATTTGGTATTATATCTAGAAAGTAAGCGTAAGTGATTTAATGTGACAGGCAGCAAAATGAACACTAGAACTCAGCATAGTATCATACTATATGTAATATATCATATATATATATATATATATATATATATATAATGAAATGAAATATATATATATATATATATATATATATATATTTCATTTTCAAAGTTTATTCATAAACTACAACGTATCAAATAAGTAAATAAATGTTATGAAGTTGAATATGCTGAGACCGAATAAGACTGTATGTCTTGTGGTGGCCACCGCAGGTAGATACATGAATAGTAATGAAATGAAGGAAAATTACGGAAGGAAAAAGATAAGTGAAGATAAATAAATAAATGTTCGTTTTATGCATATAAAAACTTATAAATATATAAATGTTCGTTCAGTACTTATATAAACATATGAATGTTTAACCATTCATAAAGACCATTCATCCGCTTCATTTGTTCTCACGTATTCAAAATAGAGTATTAGGTGATGGAGTCGAGGTCCAGTGTCAATAAAAAAGCACGGAATTTTGATTTGAAATGTTGTAGGTTTATAAAGGCTTTTAAATGGGAAGGTACAAGTTCTGTCCAAATTTTAGGACCAGCTATATATATGTATTTATATGTATATGTTCGCTAAAAGATTATATTTAAATGTTGATGATCATTGAACTGGAAAAGTTCCATTATTGACCTATACTACAATTTAGTTTTTGCCAATCATCATACCTATATTGCCATGTTTGGGGGGATTTCCCTTCTTCCTCTATAAATTATAAAGATTCACAAATGATGGTCGATCAATAATGTCTTATCTTATTTATCGGGCTTAAATTATTTGTGATTCAGATATGATGTGATATTAACATTATCGAATTAATGATATAAATAAAATATATTTTTGATGATTTGAAATGTATTATTTCAATAGATTCGTCAAATAAGAATAGATAAATACCAAAATAATATGAAAAAATAAGCAATAACACCAGGAAGTTAAATTTGAAGTGCATATCTGTGACATTGCGAGCCTTTTCGAGTACTCTTGTAGCATCACTTTCATCCATACAAGCTGACTCCTGAGATTTGTTGACTCAACAGATTCATGACGCCTGGCAAAACTCACAAACGGAAAACAAAAGATGCATGTGTGTGTGCGTGTGTGTGTGTGCACGCGTGTGTGTGCGTGTGGTATTACTATACATTATTATACATTATACCGGTTTATTACCACACTATACTATACTGGCTACCAGTTTACTTTGTTTCTACTCGAAAATATCAACCTTACATGTTGAAATTATTCAAAATCTATTAAAATTCTACTAAGGTATTTACTTAAATATTATTAATAGTTTTAAATAAATGTTATAACACAAATTTGAGATAATTAATATTCAAAAATAATTATGATTTAGCGTCATAAAAATTTGTCACCCATTGTAAATTTGTATTTAAAATGTTTCATTTTATAAAAAAAATTACCAAATAATATACACGAGAAATGAATGTGTATAAATACAAAGTTGAAACGTGCGAGCCTGATTAAGTGAAATCGATCAAACACATTCTTATATGTGAGTATAAATTTTGTAATTAATATAAGAAGATATACCATTCTTACATACAAGAAGGTAAAGCATAGATAAAAAAAGATGTAATGTAAGGAAAAAAAAACAAGATGAAAGAGAAAAAGGAAGAAGAAGAGAAAGAGTGAGAGAGATAGAAAGAAAGAAAGACAAAGAAAGAAAGACAAAGAAGAGATTCAAAACTCAAAAGTATAAATAAATAAAAGATCTGAAAATCAAAATTGCATTTAGCTGTTTTTGGACATGGCAATAAAAACCACCTACTCCATCCATTTGAAGCAAGGCAACAACTAGCACAGGAAAATTATCTGGTTCACATTCCACATAGAATGGTTTTACAGACAAAATATGAGTACAATCCTTTTCTTTCAAAAATGAACGTAAAAAATGTTAATTATTTTATTAATCAAACTGACAACAAGATGTCGTCGTCGGCTGACATTCCGAGAGATACCTGCTGAAGATTGTTCTCCGACGAGTGGATCGGCAAGTTGTAAAAAAGTTGATTGATCCATTTGTTACTGGTTGAAAATTCAATGTAAGTGTGTGAGGTGAGGAATTGGTACACGTCGTTCGGCAACGTTGTTTTATCCACTCTTAACGAATCATCCAATATGGCGATCAATCTTTCACGGTTCAGTTGAACATTTCTTTGCAGCGAGGTTCTGAATTCAAACATGCAGTATGAACTGTTGATGAAATGGACCGTCATGAGACAAACAACTCTCTTGCTGCAGGCAATCGCTTCAACGATGTTGCTAGCAATTGATCTTCCACCAACGAAATCTTTTTCGTGGTAACACACGCGGTAACCTTTGACCTCCATCATCCGAACAAGTTCAATTCCTTGTTCACGGTCTGAGTAAGCACAGCTGACAAAAACATCAAACTTCATGTGCTCCCCTCTGCATTCGTCTCTATCAAAAGGGTGCACCTTCAAGTACGCATTTATTTCTACTTTGAACTTCCTAACTATAAACAATAGTAGGACCGCAACCACTAAAATGATTGATACTGGAACCAGTACACTTGCCAAAGTCTTATTGATTTCCATTTGGAAAGGATCGTGACAAAATTCCACATCTTCAATTGAGAATATGTTCCTGTCAGAAAGTCTTGCTGGCGTTTTGCACAGAATGCCGTTGGGATTCAACAGGGTGATACTTTTGTTCTTCAAATCTATCATCCACCATTTCAACCATTTATTTTGACATGAACAATCCCACGAGTTGTTATGCAAACTTATTACTTTTAGCTTGATTGTATTATTTTGTAAAAAATAATTAGGAACCGTTGTTAAATAGTTAGAATGTAAGTGTAATTCTTTGATTAAACTAAGAGATTCTAATTCACGGTCATCTAGTTTGTCAATTTTATTGAAACTAAGATCCAACATCAGAGTTTTATTAAAATAAGAACGGCTTTCAATAGAAGCGATCGAGTTAGCAACGAAAGATAAATTGTAAGTAATTGATGTAATCACTTTTGTTTTCGTAGGCATAAATAAAGGCAAAGATTGAAGATGATTGGAAGTGCAATTAACATATATGCCTCTTTCGTGAGGTATCTCCATACAGTAGCAGCCGTCTGGACAGGGTGTCAATTCGCACTGGTACTCATCAAGGGGAACGGTGAAGAGTTTCCTGTTCATCAGATGAGGGGGGTTTCGGCAGTGCATGCCATCAAAAAATGAAACATAACGAGCACCTTTGATGAGTTTTATTATGGGATAATCAACGCAATCGCAAACAATAGCATTCCCATCCAATTCTATATTTACTGGACTGTGATATTTCACACCAAAAAGACAAGCGGCGTCTACCATTTTTGGGAAAAAAATTAGTAAGTCACTGATGTGTTTCAACTCATTTTTAACTAAATCCAAATGAAACGCAGCTTTCTTTTTTAACGATGCTTTGCATGGAAGAAACCAGTTCTTTCTGTTGGTGATAGAACTGATTTTGTTATTCCGGAGAGCGATAGTTGAACGATCGACGGATACTGCTCGTATGAAAATCCAGGCGTCAACGTTCGTTAGCTTGTTAAAACTCAAATCCAGTGTTGTCAGTGACAGCAAGTCGGTCATGTTTGAAAACACATCATGATCAACGCTGTCGATTTTGTTATTACTTAAAATGATGTCAGTCAGATTACTGAGACCATCAAACAAACCTCTTTGCAAATTTTCAATCTGATTATTAGGAAACAGAAATTTGTTTAGAGTTTTAAGTTTGTTGAGGCAACCAACGGGAAGAGATTTCATGCAGCTCTGCTCGATCTGTAAAATGGAGATCTCCTTCAGCGAACAAATTATTGATGGAAAGTTTGCTAACGGAGAATTCCGCACTGTTAAAGTAGTTACACTTGATTTTAACTCAATTAATCGAAATAATTCTTGCTCAAAATCATAGAATTTTTGTTTCGCTTCAGTATTTGCTTGCGAGTCAATGTCACCGCACGAAAATCCTTCGAAACAGCCGTCCAAATAAATTGAAGAATCACTAACGGAACATGAGCTACAGTTTTTGAAGGCAGCTGATGAGCAGAGATCGTTTGAATGAGCTGCAAACATGGCGTGGAGCATTAACATCAAAACTTTAAAGTTTAAAAGAGTCAACATTTCTTACTTTAACAAAATATCTAACATACGTTAGAAAATGTCTCTACTTGCTACGAACGTGTTGATTTCAGACGTTTACTAAACCAATAATATTTAACTAGAGTTGTTATAATAATTAACAGTCAACCATTTAGTTAATTATTATGATTCTATCCTGAACTCACTTCAGCTATTTTATAATGTATGACGCCTCAATATACAAACATAATTTTATAACAGCGTGCACCTATCACTAGCGTTGCGTGCTGATGTATTTACCTACTACAAATAATTATTATTCGAGTGCACGTTTAAACTTTTGAGTAGTAGTAGTATGCCTAGAAGCAATGTAAACATTCTCATATTGGTTTCGCAAGGGCTCTTATCAACAATCTCAGTTGCAAATTTAAGTTGATTACAAAAATACATAACCTCCACGTTTAAAAATGAGGTCTAAATTCCAAAATCTCTAGTAATTGTTTATAAGAATGACTTTATTTTTCAAGAAATAAGTAACATTGATAACATTTTCTCACATGATTAATAATTCATTTTTAAATTGAAAAAATATTTTTTTAATATATTGTTTTAACTTGCACTATCGTCAAGTTATCGATATTCCTCAGGTTCACTTATCTCTGACAGATAAACACAATCGCTTAAAACACAACTGCTTGTTTAAACTTTTTTTTGAAGATTTTAACGGCACTGCACTCCCAAGATGGTGCTATAATGTGCCAGTAATTTTAATATTTTTTTCTTAATTTTTATTTTAATTTTTTTTTCATAATTATGTAGTTATTATTATTACATCTTCAAAATCAATCACAGTCGAAAAGGAAGAATCCGATCAAAATATATCAAGACATCAATCCAGAAAAATAAATGATAATCTTTGACTTAAGTATATTTTAAGAGGTAAGGCTGTAATAGTTTATTCAGATTCAATAACCACACCATAGATCAGAAGCGCCAGAAGTTGACGTCAGCACGAAGAGAGAAAACCCACCTACCATTCGCCAGTCCTACAAACCAATGACTCTCACTCCTGTGCATTCACTCTACTTCAATAACGTTTTATTTGAATGCCAACAGTAATGGAACAAACTAATCATTCATTCACCATTCAAAGAAATACGATGGATCTCGCACGATCGCCACTAAGTAAGTAAGTAATGAAGCATTACAGTAGTGTTACAATCGAAAGATTGTAAAGTTCCACAAAAATAACGAATAAAGCAAATATAAAAAAGATAATAACAATCAATTAAAATTAGTTATAGCAGTATTTAAGATTAGATATACAAAGCGTATACGAGAAATAAATTGATAAAAATTATCAAAAAAAAAAATAAAACAAATTCAAAATTAAAATCAGGAATATTCAAAATTAAGACCAAAATATTCCTTCTTCCTAGTCAGCGAAAGTTTTTGTACTGGCATGTTATAGATCAAGTGGCGTATGTAGTTGCTGGAGCTGTCGACTGAAATGTAATCATTCGTTTGTAAGTGACTAACAATCTCATCTGGCATCACGCAATCCTCCAGCTCGGTACTTTGCAGCAATAACACAATCAACCTTCATTTGATAAAAAAGATTAATGTTTTTGAAAAGTAACAATATCAACTACAATAATGTGGAAAGATGAATCAACTAACCTGTTCTTTTTGACACGAATGTTTCTATCAAGAGCCATCTGGAACTCGAACATGCAGTAGGGGCTAGCAAAAAAGTGCTTAGACAGCAAACAAATGGTTCTCTTGCTTGAAAGAACAGCGTGTTGAATGTTCGCTGCTATCGGAACACCTCCTACGAAATCTTTTTCGTGGTAGCAGATGCAATATCCCCTGCTTTCCAACGTTTTAATCAATGAATTTGCAAACTGGCGATCTTCATAGGAGCAGCTGATGAATGCATCGAACATCATATCTTCGCCATGGCATTCGTCTCTGTCAAGTGGATGGATATTCAGATATGTATTCAACTGCACTTTGAACCTTCGCACGAGCTGGTACGTAACAACGATTATAAGAAGTAAAACAAATATAGGAACAAGCACGGCTGCCAGAAATGTTTTTTCGTTAATATTAGGATTTGAACAGAAATCTTTCTCTTCAATGGTGAAGATTGTTCTATTTTCTAACCACTGAGGTGTGTGACAGAAAATGCTATCTGGTTCGATCAAAATGTTCTTGCTCCTTAATGTTTGCAGCCAACGTTTGAACCAAACATTTCCACAGTTGCAATCCCACTTGTTGTCGTGGAGACTCAATTCTTTTGTCTTCACGTTCACAGCGTCAACTCGTGGAAGCGTCGTCAACTTGTTGGAGTGCAGGTACACAGTTGAGATGTTTAGAATGGAGTTCAACGCTTCTTCAGATATATTCATTACTTGACTTTTTGATAAATCCAACCAGCTTACGTTTTCAAAATAGCTTTGATAATCAACCACCAAAATTTTGGAGTTGGCAAATAATAATTTGTAAGGGGGGGTGTATTTGGATTTAACATCTCTTCTCGGCAGCGATCCAGGCAATTCTAATAACGATGGGCACGTCATTTTGAAAAATCGTTTTGCTTCTTTTAAACATGAACAATTTTTAATACAAGAAATCTCGGTAACATTGCAAACCATTTCGTCGGTTTTCACGCTCAACCAGAGCCTGTTCTTTAGTTCTGGAGGTTCATAACAGTAAGCCTGGTTCATAAAATTAATCCTTCCCATCTTCATTACTTTCCCAGCGTTCGAGACATCAGCACAATCACACACGAATGGGTTATGCTTGTCTAGTTTTATAGAAATATCAGTATGTTTATTTGTAGCAAAAAAGCAAACCAGATCTATGTCAGCGTTGAAAATAGGTGCTGCAAAGTCCGTTAAATGTCTTATTTTATTGTTATACAATATATATTCAAGATTATAACCGTGCCGTCTTTTCATCGAGCAGTTAAAATGCCAGTTCAAATTATTTGTGAATTCACTTATTTGGTTGCCTTCAAGATTTATCGTTGTTGAGTTCAAATTTACTCCTCTGAAAATTGGCCACGAATCTACACTCTCCAATCTATTCTGTACCATTGAGATTTTTAATAAGTTTGGTGAGCCGGCGATGTTCGAGAAGACATGCGTGCCTATATATCGAATTCGATTGTAGTCCAAAGTCAATTCTTTCAACTTCAACAATCCATCAAAAGTACCATCATCCAATCTTTCTAACAAATTGTTTGTAATTGATATAATTTCAATATTTACTAATCTATTAAGGCTGTTGTTTGGAAGAGCTTTTAAATTGTTTCTATTCAGATGAAGATGTTTCAGTTGTTGAAGAAAGAGCAATGATTCCGGAATTTTTAAAAGTTTTGTGTTTGTAATTTTAATACCGGTTAAATTCTTGTATTCTCCCAAAAAGTTGTTCAAACTTGTAGCATAGGACGATCGGTTGGCAGGCAGGATACAGTTACTCAAAACCAATAAACCGTTTATCAACTCAGCTTCACAAAGATTTTTGAGATTATCCAAATCATTCGACGTAGCAACGATTGTTACAGGCATGAAGATAATGATGAAATACATTAACGCAATATTTATTGGCATCCGATTCACACCTCGGAAAAACTTACTGAAAATATCATTAAATTCATTCATTTAAAATGAACGCGATGCGGGGTTTATTAAGTAATATAACGGGCCTCTAGTCATGTGTGATTAATATGCATTGCTGTGATGATGAGCTAACTGTGCTTTACATTTTTCAGGTGACGACTTACGTGCTTATTTAGTAGTCAATTGTAATTAATGCAAACACGCTAGCTAACGAATCTGCAAAATGCTTTTTAAAATCCCATCTGATAAATTTTTCATACTTATTTTAAATTTAATTTTCCTTTGAACTATGACTTTTTACTTAATTAATTAGTTGTTTCATTTTTTTATCAAGCCATTCATTAAAAAACGACGAGTGAACCGTTGTTTGTAATATTTTTGAAATAATTATCTAAATTACCATCATAATAAAACGAAAATTAACTAATAGTAGTTCTACAATCAACTAATGTAGCGTTTTTACGTGAAATATAAATTTATGTTTAAAAGGAATCTTACAGGACTATGTTTAATTTTTTAAACTATTGGCTTGAAATAAAACTTTGAATTAAACATTTTACAAAATTGTTCATGATATAAAAGAAATTAAATAATTTTTAATTATTCATTCAAAATGTGGCGGGGAACCCATTTTATGTAACGGCATGCTGTAGATCAGTTGGTTTATAAACTTGTTACATCTGTCAACTTCAATGTATGTATACATTTTCAGATAGTCATATATGAATCGAACATCGTCAGATATCATTGACTGGCTGACTTTTTCAAAAGAAGCAAATAGAAGCACAATCAGCCTGAAATATAGAAAATGATTAATCTAAATTATTTAGAGATTGAGAGATAACTAAATTCAAGTTACCTGTTTTTGTTGATAGATTTATTCCTCTCAAGGGCTGTTCGAAATTCAAATAAACAGTGTGAACTTTTAAGGAAACGTGTGGACAACAAACAGATGACTCGCTTACTTTTGATCACCACATCCTTGATAATTGTTCTCAGTGGAATGCCAACTGGAAAATTTTTTTCGTGATAACAGATGCGATATCCTTTTTGGTCTAAAAATTTAGTTAACTTGATAGCGAATATTCGATCTTCGGAGGAACAGATAATAAATGCATCGAACATCATATCTTCTCCAAGACATTCGTCTCTGTCAAATGGATGGATATTCAGATATGTGTTCAACTGCACTTTGAATCTTCTCACGAGCTGGTAAGTAACAACGATTATAAGAAGTAAAACAAATATAGGAACAAGCACGGCTGCCAGAAATGTTTTTTCGTTAATATTAGGATTTGAACAAAAATCTTTCTCTTCAATGGTGAAGATTGTTCTATTTTCTAACCACTGAGGTGTGTGACAGAAAATGCTATCTGGTTCGATCAAAATGTTCTTGCTCCTTAATGTTTGCAGCCAACGTTTGAACCAAACATTCCCGCAGTTGCAATCCCACTTGTTGTCGTGGAGACTCAATTCTTTTGTCTTCACGTTCACGGCGTCAACTCGTGGAAGCGTCGTCAACTTGTTGGAGTGCAGGTACACAGTTGAGATGTTTAGAATGGAGTTCAACGCTGCGGATGTTATTTTTTTAACAACATTTTTTGATATATCTAACCACTTTACATCTTGAAAATAGTTATGATCTTCAACAAGTTTAATATTTGATTTGGCTAAAGACAAATTGTAAGGATTTTTGTACTTTGTTGTTAAAGTTCTAAGAGGCAGTTTTTCCGGTAAGGTTTGAAGAGATGAGCAGACAATTCTATAAGAAATTTTATTTACTTTATCACACACACAATCGTCTAAACATGAGACGGTTGTCTGTGGACATATCATTTCATTTTCCGTCAATGTCATCCATTTTTTAAAGTAAGGATATATGCAGCGGGCTCTCACCATGAAATCCCTCCTTGTCAGCCATGAAAGTTTGGTTAGGTAATTTCCGTCGACACAGTCACAAACGAATGGATTATTATCATCTATTTCTATAACAGCATTAGTTTCAAACTTTCTCCCTCTGAGGCACAGAATATCTACTTCCGTTTTGAATATTGATTTAAAAAAATCATTTAGATATTTAATTTCGTTGCTTACCAAAATGTAATGAAATTTGAAATCATATTTCTTTCTCATTGAGCAATCGAAATACCATCCTAATTCGTTGGAAAATGTTTTAATTTTATTTCCACCAACGTTCACGTAAGTATCATTTATGTTAATCCCTCTTACAATCGGCCAAACATCGATGGATTCTAATTTGTTTCCTACCAGTAGGATGGCTAGCAAGTTTGGCAGGCTCGTTGTGTTTAAAAACGTCTGCGGATCAATGTAGACAATTTTGTTAAAGTTCAAATTTATTTTTCTCAAATTTAACAAACCATCAAAAGTTTCCTTTTCAATCCTTTCAATCAAATTATTTGTGATTTCTATTTCTTGTATACTTGTCAGGTGGTTTATACTATTTTTCGGCAACGTTTTCAAACTATTATTACTTAATTTCAAAATTTTGAGATTTTTCATATCTTTGAGGATTTGAAAAAAATTGTTATGTAGTTTCATGTTTGCCGCTACCACTTCAGGAACATTGTCACGTTTTTTGAAAAATTCATTAATTGATTGATCTTCTGCAATGGAGTTGTACTCGAGCAAACATTCATCAAGCAGTATAATTCTCTCGTTTATATCAGCATATTTACAAGCTTTTTTAAAGAAATCCAGATAATCGCTGGCATTCAGGAACAAAATAAACGTTAAAAAATTAAAAAGGCTTAATTTTAATTTTCCTAATAACTTCATCTCGAAGTACAACGTTACAACACCAGGTCTTCGTAAACTGGCAACTGATGCATATTAATTCATTTATTAACGTTTCTTCAACTTTTTTCTGATAGGTAAGAGAAGACAACGTACAAAACGACAGCAACAGATATCTACATTATAATTGATCATTGCTGGCACTTTAATGTTTATATTAATTTGGTGAATTCATTAGGAAGGAATATTCCCCAAAGATTAAAATAGATAATAATTATTATTAAAACCGTCTTTGCAGGTTTTTCTACTCTGAAATTCTAGTTTGTTAACTTATTTTAATTAATGTAAACAAATTATTGGTATATAACAAAATTTCATTATAAACAAAAAAGAATAATTTCTGGGAGGATATGGTTGAAATTCACTTTTTTATATATAAAAATAAACAAATAACAAGCTCAGCGTGCACAACTACACACACAAACACACAACACACACATACACACACACACACACACACACACACACACACAATAGAGCCGACACATGTTTTCTACGAACATTGCATGAAACAGCTATTATAGTATGTGCATCCGTTACCATTACAAAATCATCAAACAAAAACACAGACGATAGGCTGTTTATAACATATTGTCACCATGCCAATAAAGTTTGGCTTTTGAAAAAAAAAATTGAAACAATCTACAAATCTGCAAAACAATGTTTACACAATAACCTTCAAGGTTAAACAAAAATATATCCAACATTTATTTATTTAATGTTGATAAAAAAAATTTTTGTAGGTGTGTATGTATATAACCATGTATATAACTTACAATCCTAATTGGTTCGTTTCGTATGAAAAGTTAAGAGTAAGGGTAGTGCTAGTTAAATATGCATCTTCATTATTCGTTTGCGAGTTGCTCTTTATCCATACAGCGCATACATTTATTGTTCGCACGTACTATCGTTCTTATGCATGTTCGTAACTTTTATACTTAATTATTTATTTTCAACCTGACTCCTAGTATGATATAAATTTTACAATGTATTATTATAATACACAGGAGTTGATTTTTTTCAAACTATGAACAAGTTCTGATGGATGAAATGAAATGTCATGTATGTAGTAAACACACACACACACACACACATACACACACACACACACACACACACACACACACACTGTGTGCTTTAACTCTTATATATTCTAGGTTCTCTTCTCATGAAGAATTCACTCAAGTAAAGACCTGAAATCATCAAAAAGATTATTTAAAATATCTTTGTAAAGAAATATTATTTAATTTCATTTTCAATTAGTAGTTTACCAAAGTTATTATGAAATTACAAATAAAAATAAAAAAAAAGTCTATTTTGATTAAATTCTGATATCATCAATTTCATTCTTCAACAAATCTTTATGACACTTCACCGAGAACAATAAATATTATTAACTCATCAATACATTGACACATATGTTACCGGCCCAGAACTACGCAACTGATTAAGACTAACACAAACAACCGTACAGACTGCCAAGTAACCTTCCGATGAATACTTGCGAGAAACCACTTCAAAATTTCAGCAGGTAAGAACGTTTTGAAGCACACATAACGTAAAAATGAATGTTCATCATAAACTAGATGAATGTACCTCTCTCTCTCTCTCTTTCTTTTCTCTCTCTCTCTCTCTCTCTCTCTCTCAATTTCTATCTCAACTTATGACAACACACTTGAACATCCGATCAAAATAAAATTAGTCAACTCATAAAACTTGACCAACTTATAGATTGATGTTTGGCGTTGTTTGGTGCGTCAAAACTACGTCAGTTTATTAAAACTATTTCAGTCAATTTGTGACTAAAGAAAATTTTGTACAGTGGAAGATAGATTATTTTATATTTTTAAGATGTGAGATTATTTCTCGATGTGGGAGACTACAATGTTTGACAGTTTCTGAGAGACTTGGTGTCGGTTGGACTTATTTCTATCCAATTTTTTTTAATTTGCACATACGCCCCCGGGCGTCAAGCACAGGGGCATCAAAATGAGGCAGACAAATCTTTTTACAATAAGAGTAAACTATGTAAATTATCTTTGACAGTGACTGAATCATATGTTAATATTTGTATATTTATGTTTTCTCTTTAAATACAATGTTCCATTAAAATTTGAATTGTTTTTGTAAACAATAATTTTTACAATGTTAATGCAATAAAAAATGTGATTAAACATGGAGAAGGGAGGCGCCAATTTTATAGTTTGTCCCCGGGTGCAAAATACCCTGGCTAAGCCTCTGCGTGTGTGCTTGCGTGTGCGTGCGTGTGTTGAAATAATAACTATGTGATGTGATGTTCATGTGAAAGTAAATATGTGAAGAGCGTTAATGGGAAATTCGAGAGCAACATATGAAATAATAATTCTTTGTTGTGTTTTATCTTCAAGACAATTAATCGTTAGGTGTCAGTAGCTAATTTGATGTTGTTGACCGTAACATTTTTTGATGATGTCGTAAATATTAGTTTTTGCGGTTGTAACTACTCTTATTTTGGTATAAAGTGATGTTATTGTAGCAGTTACTGAAGTGGCTGTGGTTGCTGCTGCTGCCGTAGCTGCTGCTAATGTTTGAGTTGTAGTTGGCAGTGGTCATCAATTGTTGATGGAGTGGTCAGCAAACATCAACTGACCAGATGTAAACTATTGTTTCTTTGATGTTGATGTTTGCACGTTATTGTGCATTGTTGCGTTGTTGTTGTTTTTGAGATGGCATTGAGAGATGGACTTTGAAATAAAGGGTTCGCTATTGAAGTCAATTTTGCCATTATTGTTTTTGACGATGTTGTTGTTGTTGCTACCAATATTGTTGTAAGTGTGTTCGTGGTCAGTCTGTTGCCGGTAACGATAATGTATTTCTTAGAGAACAAAATAATCAACAAGTAATTCTTCGGATTGTTTAAAGTCTCTGGTTCATACAATGTGAAATGAATTAAGTTGGTTATTTCCTGTATTGTTTTGCTACTTCGATTTTATTTTTCTGTTCCCATGTTCTTTGGTTTGCGGATTGGTTTATTTGTTTGCACGTATGATTATTTGTTTGTATGTTTATTTAGCAATTCGCCCTTCTTCATCTGTTCATTTGTTTGTTTGTTTATATATTTGTTAAATCATTTGTTTGTTCATTTACTTTTTTGTTCATGTGTTTGTGTGTTTCTATGCGTGTTAATTTGTGTGTATGTGTTCATATGTATGTTTCTATGTTTGCTTGTTCATATATATGTTCATTTGTTTGTTCATTTATGCATTTGTTCGTTCGATGGTTGGGTTAATTTATTCAACGAGTTAATTATTCGCTTGGTCAGTTGCGCGGTCATTTCACCGTTCATTAGCCTCATTACATATTCTTCTTATATATATATGTATACACATACATACACACATGTATATATATATATAATATAATATATATATGATAATAAATATATTCGAGTGTACTTATGTTTAAGTACATATGTACATCTGTATAAACATATACATATGTATAAACATATATATATATACATTCAAGATGTTTGTCTGTGTGTGTGTGTGTGTGTGTGTGTGTGTGTGTGTGTGTGTGTGTGTGTGTGTGTGTGTGTATAAGTTGAGCACAATAAGTCACACACGACATATCAAGCCGTTTGATTTATTTATTTCGTTCGCGTTGGTTCGTTTCTTCCAACGTCAGATCAGATGCTGGCGTGTGTGCGTGCGTGTGTGCGCGTGTGTGTGTGCTTCTTCCTGTTCGCATGATCATGTATCTCTCTTGTTTTATTGCTCTCTTTCTTTTCATCACTCTCTCTTTCTCTCTCTCTCTCTCTCTCTCTCTCTCTCTCCATTTATTTCTTTATCTTACTATAACTAATTTTTTGCTGTTGTTTGTGTGCTTGTTGATTAGTATAATTTGATATAACTCCGTGTTGACGCATAAGACCAAATAAAGTATAGCATGTGTGTTTGTGTGTGCGTGCGTGTGTGTGATCTTGCATAAATAATGCTTGTATGAGATGCTCTCATGTACAATATGTGATTTTGCATTGTTTTTCGTCTTTTTTGTTGCTCTGTGTTGCGGTAGTTGTGCTAACTTGAGTGCGTTTTGTATGTGTGTGTGCGTTTGTATGTATGCAGGTTTTAACTTTTTATAGCATTGATTTCATGCAGCAAAACAGCAGGTTCTTGCTTCATTATGTATTTATCATCACAATGATGCGATCATCACCAACACTCTCATCATCGTTGTCATCATTTTCCTTCTCTGTCTCTAGCTTATCATCATCATCATCATCATCATCATCATCATCAACATCATCATCATCATCATCATCATCATCATCATCATCATCATCATCAACATCATCATCATCATCATCTTAATGTACGTGTGTGACGATTTGACGCTGAGCAAACAGAGTCAAGTACAATATCACACACCACACGCACGCACGCACACACACACCACGCACACACACCACACACCACACACACACCACACGGATACAAACAAACGCACATTAGTATCAAAAACTAAATTAAACAATTGACTGCTGAGCATTTATAAGGTAGTGCGCGTGCGCTTGTTTGTTAGAATGAACGTGTGAAAATATACTTGCGCGTGTGTGCATGTGTGTGTGTAAGTGTGTGTGTGTGTGTGTGTGAGTGCATGTGTGGGTGAATGTAAATGTTAGTGTGTTTGCAATGATGTGAAAGTGTTAACAAAATAATTAATGAATAATAGCAGAATGGAAAAGTTGGATGAACGATTGTTACAGTTGGACAAACACGACACACAAACACATCCAGCACAACATGTTGTTTTTGTTGATGATGATGATGATGATAAGAATGACAACGTCCCAAAGTTTAGGTTACATTATAACAACAGTGTCCACAACAAAGACGGTAATTTTTACATTTACAACAACAACAATATTTTCAGATTTTATTTTAAAAAGAAACTCAAAAACAACGACAATCCAGTAATAGCAAACAACATTAACATCTGTT